TATGCTGATTTTGGTGCTATTTAACACATCAGAATACTGGGGGCTTCCTCTTGAAGAGTAAATGTGCATGATTGTATATGGAACAAGTACTAGGGTACCAGGGTTTGGGGGGCGATGGAGTTATTACTTGACTTGAATGTGCACCCTAGGGTGCTTTGTGTAACATATTGTACACTACAGCATCTTATATTTTTTGAGTTATGAGTTTCAATAAATTACAGTTTTTCACCCATTTGTTTACTGTACAGTAAATCTTTAATGTCGTTTACTTGTAATTGAATTTGGGACCATTCTGAGTGCATTGGACAATGTTGCTTAAGTTTTATGCATTTGTAGATAATTTATCAGACTGAAACAGTATAGATAAAGAAAAGTAAAGTATTATTTTATCACATTCTCTGTGCTTTTTTCAGACTTGAATTATAATGAGTACAGGTAGGAAGCACTTGTCACTTGCAGATGGGAAAGTCCTAGTTACCTTGGAAGGGAGAAGATGCTTCTGAGACTGTGTGGCACAAAAGGGTTTGAAGAGCATTGCCAGAGTTGTGTCACTTGAAAGTATCAGTGCACATTTCGGGTTCCCTGGTTAGCTCTTTTGATAACGAATAAACCAGCTGGAAGATTCACCAGAGGAGTCATCTGATATTTTATCATCTGTTTCTTGTTTTTCTGTGTGTCATTTCTTGTCGTACTTCTGGATGCACCATGAGGCCCAGGGTCTGTTTTCCCTATTGGTATTTTCCAGTCTCCCGTTAGTGAGGATGCTAATGACCGAACAGCAATCACAGCAAGCCTTGCAAATGACCATCTTCTCCAGTGTAACTGACAGTGCATCTCTCTGCCTGTTCTGACATGAGCATAGGAGTGGGCTCACTTACAACTGACTGTCAAAAGCCACAATTCAAAATGCAGGTTTGGAGGTACCACGTGCCCTTGTAGAGTGAGTAACAAAATAAAATACACAGTGGTGCAGCCTTGCTGCTCCCTTTGGAGCATAGCTTCCTCCTTCCTTCTGTCAAGCTCCAGTCTATGGATCTAGCATTTTAAAACCAAGAATGAATTTGCATTTCTGGTATACTCTTCCTATACACTCCTGCCAACCTGCCACCAAAGCCTTTGCCACAACATAATACAAAATCACCTTTACACAATCCCGCTGTGCTTAAGCTGAGCATTAAAGTTCTTCAGTGTTCAGCTTTCCTATTAAAGTAACTAATCCTGCCACTTGTAGAAACAAATTTGCATATGAAGCATGAATTTTATGACAGATGGATTTTGTAATCTCACAGCGTGGTCACGTGTGAAACCTTCAGTGCCTCAAAGGTAACTTGCTCTTAGTAAGAGTTGCTCATGTCTGTAAACTACCACCCCTATACACAGGGCAAGCTTTGGCAGGTTACACCTCTGAAGTATTCTCTAGACCCTGGTGAGTTGGGGCAGGGTGAAGAGACAGATATCATTTCTGTCTGTCAGGTATGGAGATAGTTCCTGCTCTGTTCTTCAGTGCAAGAGCTGTATTTAGGAAGTGGTGAGTGGGTTTTCCTCAGTGGTCAGACACAAGCATCTTGAAAGCGTTTTCCTCTGGTTATGTGGCATTCTGAGCACAACTGGGGTTTTTTAATAGAGAGCTCTCAAGTTGTGTTCATATTTCTTGGGAAAGATACCAGTCGCAGTCATAGAATGGTTTGGGTTGAAAGGGACCTTCAGAGCTCATCTAGTCCAACCCCCTTGCAAGCAGCAGGAGCATCTACTTCCTCCTTACCGAAACTGGCTTGCCTGTTTCACATACCGCCAGTATGTTTCAACTGTGAGCTCCATCATCACCAGCATGCACTACCCTCTGAGCGAGGTGATGATAGATGTTCCACCATCCAAATGACACAGTTTGAATCCACATGCTGATTTCTTCTTAGGCTCGTTTATCTGGTCTTCCTAATTGCCTAGCACTGGTGGGTATCAGGAAGGGGGGCCTCAGAAGGATGTATCCCCACTACTGCTGCGGCAAACTGTGGATTTCAGCAGCATCTGTTGTTATCTTCACTTAATATTACAGTACCAAGTATGAAATGTTTTGACTCCAATACTTGATTTCCATAAGGGCTCTGTATCTTTCCAGTTCCTAAGATACTTTGTTTTTATCTGGTTCATGCCTTCAGAATGATCTGGGTTGGGCAAAAACCACGACAAGAAAGGCTTAAAGTATTTTAACACTGATGAGTTCTTTGGTCCTTACTACAAAACCATGTAAATGTGTGAGCACAGGAAGTGGCAGAGGGGGAGAAGGGGGCTGCTGCTCTGCTGTTGGTGGCACTGCTGATACAAGTCAGCTTTGAATGCTCACAGAGGTGCCAGAGGCACTGAATGTTACCACCAGGAGGGCTCTCTGCTTCTCCTCTGTTCCTGTCTGTAATCTGCTTTCATTTGTATCCCGCAAACGAAACAGCTCTGGCACTTTTTAACTCCTTGAAACATTAGAAAACTAACCCAGCAATAGCAGCATACAGTTGAGTACCTCTCTACCATTCCAGTGCAAAGGAATAGGGCTGCAACTCAAAGATGCACGTTATTAATGCTGTCGGGGCTACCACTAATGTGAGAGATATGTATCCCGTTTGGATGCCTTCACATCCCTGCTTGGGCCTTGCCCAGGCTTAGTATCGTGACATCTCTCATTACCCCAGTTTCCCAAACTCAGTATGTCAGTCCCTAAGCAGGATTCTCTGCTCTGCTGTAGTCTGGTCTCCGTACTGCAGTTTTCTTCCTGAGCTTGTTTTCCGTCTTGTCCTTCTTTACAAGAGTAACCTCAGGCTTCGTCTCCTTACCCACAAGTGCAGGTCCTGCCCTTTGCTTACTCAGTGGTAAAAATTAACAACTCAGACTCGAATCCCAGCCCTCCTCATTGTTCTGGGCTCAGCACCAACAGCTATGTTTCTCCCTCCTAGCAGCTGGCGCAGTGCCATGTTTTCAGCTTTAGGCTGAGAACAGTGCTATAACACAGCAACGGTTTAGCCGTTGCTGAGTAATGCTTACCCTGATCAAGGACTTTTCAGTCTCTGCCACTGAGGAGGGGCATGAGAAGCCCGGAGGGATCAGAGCCAGGGTGTGAGCAACCAGCTGGCCTCAAACCACAGCACTGATGTGAGCGTGCCCGGCTGTGCTCACCAGTGGTCCCTTCTGCCCCAGTTTCTTCCACAATAAGCAACCATCATCCCTCACATGAGAAAATGACTGCTGTGTGCTGCGTACTGAGCTGCCTCAGCTCATCCCTCTGGGTGTTCTCAGCTGCTGCTGGTCTCTGTGGCAGTCTCCAGTGGCTTGACCAGGAGGGGCCAATTACTTTGGATTCTTCCCTGCTTTAAAAAAGGAAAGAACCCACATCCTGGGCATTCCCATGCAGCAGCGTCTGCCTGGCGGCCGTGGGAAGTCCCAGAGCAAGCAGCCAAACAAATGACTCTGTGGAACACGTGCTCTGCCAGCCTGGTTTATCTTAAACAGGACTTAACAGAGTTTCCTCTGGAGGAGTCATTGCAAGACTTACCCATAGGCATCCCATCCACCTGTCCCTGCAGCATGGTGTGGAACTCTCATCCCCCACTTAGGTGCTAACCCCGGGTACCTTTATGCCTTGTTAACTGTCCTTGCACAAGGTGCTGTGGCTTGGAGCGTGGCCAAACCTCCCCTTCCTTGTGGCCACGCTGGTTGGTAACCATTTCTTGGGTGATCTGCAGCATGAGTCCTTGCACCGGGGCCATGCTGGCAGCAGAACGGCGGCACCACGCAGCTTCTGCCCCGCTTCATGCTCCTCCACAGCTCCACCACAGCACAAACCACCTGGCCTCGGCCTGGTTTCCGTGCCTGCTGCGGTCACCCTGGGCCCTGCCACTCACCCCAAGCTTCGGCATTCCCCACACTGTTTTTATGCTTCCAACAATTCCACTATGAGAGGTTCTTACGGAGGTTTGGGTGGCAAAGCGAGGGTGGATTGCCACGGTGGTGGCACCGCCACAGAGCTCCCTGTGTTGTGCAGCTGATGCCCAGCACCAGCTTTCTACCCTGGCACCTCAGCTGTGGGAGCAGGGATAAAGGATCCTTTATCCTGCACGGACAGCTTCAAGCCTCCAGGAAGCAAAGTCCTCATTTCCAGGGCTGGGCTGCCCTTGATTTTGTTTTATTCCAGCATGGACTAAAGTCTCCAGAGACATCCCTCACACACTGCAGCGAGCCAACGTCTGTATGAGCACAGCTAACACACTGTCATACTGCAAACACTGAACTTCCATGACATCAGTCCCTGCATCTTCGCACCTGAGCATAGAATCATAGAATAGTTAGGGTTGGAAAAGACCTTAAGATCCAAGCCCCCTGCCATGGGCAGGGACACCTCACATTAAACCAGGTCAACCCAAGGCTCTGTCCAACCTGGCCTTGAACACTGCCAGGGATGGAGCATTCACAACTTCCCTGGGCAACCCATTCCAGTGCCTCACCACCCTTACAGTAAAGAACTTCTTCCTTAGATCCAGTCTAAACTTCCCCTGCTTCAGTTTGAACCCGTTACCCCTTGTCCTGTCACTACAGTCCCTAATGAAGAGTCCCTCCCTAGCATCCCTACAGGCCCCCTTCAGACACTGGAAGCTGCTCTGAGGTCTCCACGCAGCTTCTCTTCTCCAGGCTCAACAGCCCCAACTTCCTCAGCCTGTCTCCACACAGGAGCTGCTGCAGCCCCTGAGCATCCTCATGGCCTCCTCTGGACTTGTTCCAACAGTTCCATGTCCTTTTTATGCTGAGGACACCAGACCTGCACACAACACATCACGGGAGGCTTCTGCCCTCCCTCCACCACCGGCAGCTCCCGCTGCTCTCCTCCGCCTTGCCCAGGGCCCGCTGGAGCAGCGGTTGCGGGCCGAGGGGGGTCAGGCCCACGCGGGAGCCCCGCGGCCTCTTCCCACCTCCCCTCAGGGCCCGGCCCCGGCCCCGTCTCTCCCGCGCTCCTCCGGGCGCCAGGGGGCGCCGCAGCGGGCGGAAGCGGCATCGCTTGGCGGGGCCATGGCGCTGCCCGGCGAGCTGTGGGCAGAGCTGCCGGCCGAGCAGCGCATCTTCTGCTCCGTGCTGCTCTTCTCGTGGGCCGTCTACCTCTGGGAGGCCTTCCTGGCGCACCGGCAGGTCGGCGGGGCAGGGGGCTGGGCCCGGCCTCACCTCTGCGGCGGGGGGGCCGGCTCCGAGCGCTGTGGGGCCGGCTGAGCCCGTCACCTGCCTGCGGAGGGCTCGGGCCCGGCCCGGCCGAGGCAGCGGGGCTGGGCCGCGGTGTCCGGCGGGTTCCGGGGCGCTCTGGCAGGGGGAAGGGGCCGGGCCGGGGCCGGTCGTGGCTCCCCGCCATGGCGCTCCCCACGCACGGGGAAGCTGCCGCAGCTCTGCCCCGGGGGGGGGGTTGGAGGAGTCTGAGCCCCTGTGTGTGTGGGGGGGTGGGTGGGTGACCGGCAGCGGCTCCATCACCACAGCAGGTTGGGGAATGGGAATGGCAGAAGTGGGAGGAAAACGCGCCTGGGTTGAAGTAAGGGCGGCTCGGTGAGCGAAGGGGATGGGGAGGTGAGCCCAGTAGCGCTGCAGAGGCTCAGCGCAGCCTGCGAGCAGGACAGTGCCGGGTCAGTCAGGCTCCAAGCAGCAGCCACCTTGGAAGTCAGCTCCCCCCCAACTCTTCTTCCTCTGCTTCATTTGTTACTGCTGAGTGTAGCTTTGTACAGCATGGGATGCTCTGTGGGTAGCTCGGGTCAGCTGTCCTGGCTGTGTCGCTTCTCAGCCTGTTCCTGCGGTGGAATAGAGGGGGAGAAGCCTTTGGTGGTGTTTAGCAGCAGACTGGTGTTAGCAGCACTGGTCACGAATGCAAAGCAAACCAGCACCCAGCCTGCTGTGGGGAAGTGAACTCTGTCTCATCCAGACCCAGCACAGCTGGGGAAAGCTCTTTGAGCCGTGAGATCACCTAAACAAGCCCTCTGCTCACAGGAGGGAAGCGTTCTGAGCTGACGAAGGGTAGGAGCCCTTCCTTGGAGGAGAGATAAATACACTGGAACAAGGCAGTGGGTGGGATAAGGGCTTCCAGTCTTTAAAACTGGGAAAGTTGTGAGTTCTCTCCAGCAACGGAAACGTTCCTTTGTGCAGCAGCATCACAGAGATGTTTGCTTGTGAAGGTGCAGGTTTGCAGAGGAAGATCGGGTGTTTAGTTTCAAACTCTGCTGCAGGAAGTCACATCCCGTGGAAAACGGAGTCTGTGTGAATTTTAGGTAGTAACCGTGTCGGAAATAAGAAGTAGCTCAGTTTCTGAATATAATGTAGTAATAATGCCTCAGTTTTATATTTGGAGCTTGAGCAAAACCAGGATTTTAGGAGTCTTTGTCATTTTATGGCTTGTTTCGTTTCTCTTTCTGTTTTTAACTTCCTGTGCTGGCCCATGGGATCCTGGTGTGTGTTACATGGAAATCTGATTTTCCTCCTTAGAAATACTGCCTCTAGACCTTACGTTTCTCTTTGCTTTTTCAGAGGCGGGTCTACAGAACAACAACGCATGTGCCACAGGAGCTGGGGCAGATCATGGATTCAGAGACCTTTGAGAAATCTCGGCTCTATCAGCTGGACAAAAGTACCTTCAGCTTTTGGTCAGGCCTCTATTCAGAGCTCGAGGGCACTGTAAGTACCTAAGCTCTACTCCAGCATTCCTATGGTACTTTTCAGGCACTTAAACTGTGCAATACTTTGATTCTTGGTGGTCCCGTGCACCTGCACTGGTGGCATTCTGCAGTCTGACGTCAGCCACTGACGTTTGGAAGGCCTAGAATTTCTTGTTTGTAGCTGTATTTACCATATAAAAAGAAGGAATTATTCAGACAGCAAGTAATTTCTCTATGCCACGCTGAGTCATTCTGTACAACTGACACTGTATTATGCTTTCCACTGCCAAATAACTAAGCAGCATTAGATTTACTTCAAAATAGTACAATACAGGCCTTTTTCTGTGTTTGGAGGCATGTGACTACTTTCACTTCTAGAGAAAACTTAAAAAGAAGGTAGAAAGAAAAGCCTGTGAGAACAAGAAGAGTACCAATGGATACTTCTTAAGTGGAAGAACAATTGCACTGGGCCAGTAGCATTCGCATATATGAAGAACCAAACCCATTAAAGTATATACGTGTATGATTTACAGTCTTAAAGATTTTCTGGCTGAAATGTGCTGCTCATCAATAGCACAACTGGGTCAAAAAGGAACTCCAAAATGTCTGGCATTGCAGAATATAATTAGAGTATGATCTACTGTGTGATGAACTTAAGGAAGCAGAAAGGTCGATTATAAAAGGTACCGAAAATAGTACTGTTAAGGCAGTGTAAGTGATGTAGCTCTATAACATAGAGCCTTGGGTGCCATGGTTTAGTGTGAGGTGTCCCTGCCCATGGCAAGGGGGTTGGAACTGGATGATCTTAAGGTCCTTTCCAACCCTAACTATTCTATGATTCTATGATTTTATAACTGTGATTCAGAACTTGTACTTAAGAATTGCAGCCCCTCTTAACTTTTGCATTCCTTATCTCTTTTGTGTAGCCTAACTTGGACTTCGTTTCATTTTGTAGGAGCTTGTCAAAATGTACATGTGCCCAGGGAGCTGAGAAGGCTGATGGCATCCTGGCCTGTATCAGCAGTTGTGTGGCCAGCAGGGCCAGGGCAGTGATTGTCCCCCCTGCACTGGGCACTGGTGAGGCCACACCTCAAATCCTGGGTGCAGTTCTGGGCCCCTCACTGAAACTGAGACATTGAGGTGCTGGAGCAGGGCCAGAGAAGGGCAGTGGAGCTGGTGCAGGGCCTGGAGCACAAGTGTGATGGGGAAGGGCTGAGGGACCTGGGGGGTTCAGTCTGGAGAAGAGAAGGCTCACAGGGTACCTGATCGCTCCCTACAAGTGCCTGACAGGAGGATGGAGCCAGGACGGGCTGGGCTCTGCTCCCAGGGAACAAGGGATGGGACAAGAGGAAACGGCCTCAAGCACCAGGGCAGGTTTAGATGGAGCTGAGGAACAACTCCTTCCCCAAAGGGTGCTCAGGCATTGGAACAGGCTGCCCAGGGCAGGGCTGCAGTCACTATCAATGAAGTTATTTAAAAGGTGTGTAGATGTGGCACTGAGACATGGTTTAGTGGTGGCCTTGGTAGTGCTGGGTTAACAGTTGGACTTGATGATCTTAAAGGTCTTTCCAACCTAAATGATTCTATGATTCTATTCTACAATCAAGCTGAGGTCTCTGATGTGTATGGTGTATGCAGTTTCTTCTTGACATGTATGTGATGATGAGTTTCTGCTCCTTTCTGGGATACTGAGTTGTGTCTTCCTGTTTCTCAGTATCTGTCCTGAGATTATCAGATTCCAGCAGAGCTGAAGTGAGGTGGCCTCTGCTCTCTGGGTTTGCCACTTCCTTAGAGTGTAAACTGCATCTTTGATTGGCTTTGAGAACTGCCTGAACTTGAAAGAGGCTTTTGTGGCCAAAGCTGATGAATTGGATGACAGTTTTGCAACACTTTCTAGAAGTATGATTCAATTAACCAAGTTAATTGAAGGGGAGATGCTGAGCTAGGATTACTGCTATGCTTTATTTCAGCCTTTAATTATGTGGGTTTCTTTTTAACTAATAGGTAGGGTCAACATCATGCTAATACCTGTCATTGTTCAGGGGGTGGTGCTTTTGGGATTTCCAGGTCTGAAACTTACAGGTAGCCTGCAAAGGAGAAACAAGCTTGCTTTGATCCTTTCCATCTCCTGCTGACACTCAAAATGCAGGTTATAAGAGTAAGCCTTTTAAAAATAACTACGTAAAAACCAGGCCCTACCTATACTGGAAGCCTGCCTACTGGAAAACTGCTTTTTATGTATAGTGATGCATAACTTGCTAAGAAAGTCGGTATGAAACACTTGGAAGTCAAGCTGCTTAACAAATGCTACCAGCTCCTGCCTTGAACTACAATTAGCACTTACTTCAGCAGCTCTGTCTCAAGCGTTTCTTTGATGGTGTGTCCTGAGTAGTCCACTCTCTTGGCAACCTGTATGGCAGGAGGCATTGCCAGACAGGCACAAGGCATAAAGCTCCCTTAGAATGGCTGAAGCAGCAGTAATACTGAAAGTGTGATTACAGCCTTATTCTGAGTGCTTTTCTATGGGTAGGCAGTGCAGGAGAGACTGTTCCAGCTCGCTCAAGTTGCTGAATCTTGCATACCCCTCCTAGAGATGTGTTATACAGCCAGCCACCTGGCAAATGAATTTTAAGGTCTGTGAAATACACATTAGGACTGAACCAATATAATAGCAAAGTCTACAGTAAATTGGCTTGGAAATGTGCTTGTATTTCCCAGGAAAAAAGGAAGCTGGACCTGATCTCTACTTCTCTAAAGTGAAAATGAAGCATTGCCAAATGCTCCAGGCTTTGTGCACTGCTGAGATCAGAGAGGGACAAAAAGCCTAATTACCAAACTTTTCTCATTCACCCTTTAAAGGTCCTGAAATTCTAGTGGAATAAGATGCAGTCTGTTTCATATTGTCTCTGTGGTATGTGGTTTTGTTTTCAAGATGATTCTCCTCTGTGGAGGAATTCCTTTTCTCTGGAATCTATCTGGTCAGATCTCTGGTGGTGCGGGGTTTGGACCAGAGTATGAGGTAAGTGGCCCTTACATTTTTAAGCTTGCATTTAAGTGGGATTTAGCTACAGGTACAATATAGTAAAAACAACAGATTTTCTGGTGAACATAACAATTGTGTGAGTCTGAGAACCACAGCCAGTGTGTGACATGCAAGTCACACGTGTGACTGTGAGAATGGAGACCTTAGGACCACTGGAGGAGATGATCTGGTTCGAGACCATCGTAAGAACCTGAACATGCACAAGTCCATGGGACCTGATGAAATCCATCCGTGGGTCCTGAAGGAGCTGGCAAATGAAGTTGCTAAGCCACTGGCCATCATATTTGAAAAATCATGGCAGTCAGGTGAAGTTCCCAGCAACTGCAAAAAGGGAAATATACCCCCCATTTTCAGGAAGGGGAAAAGGGATGACCTGGGGAATTACAGAGCAGTCAGTGTCACCTCTGTGCCTGGCAAAATCTTGGAGCAGATTCTCCTGGAAGGCATGCTAAGGCACATGAAAATCAACAAGGTGCTTGGTGACAGCCAGCATGGCTTCACTAAGGGGAGATCCTGCCTGACCAATTTGGTGGCCTTCTATGATGGGGCTACAGAACTGATGGACAGGGGTAGAGCAGTTGATGTCATCTACCTGGACTTGTGCAAAGCGTTCGACACCGTCCCACACAACATCCTTGTCTCTAAACTGGAGAGACATCAATTTGATGGATGGACCACTTGGTGGATAAAGAACTGGCTGGATGGCCGCACACAAAGACTTGTGGTCAATGGCTCAGTGTCCGGCTGGAGACCAGTAACGAGTGGTGTGCCTCAGGGATCGGTGTCGGGACCGGTCTTGTTCAACATCTTCGTCGCTGACATGGACAGTGGGATTGAGTGCGCCCTCAGCAAGTTTGCCTATGACACCGAGCTGTGTGGTTCGGTTGATACCCTGGAGGGAAGGAATGCCATCCAGAGGGACCTCGACACGCATGTGAGGTGGGCTGATGCCAACCTTATGGAGTTTAACCATGCCAAGTGCAAGGTTCTACACCTGGGTGGGAGCAATCCCAGGCACAGCTACAGGTTGGGCAGAGAAGAGATTCAGAGCAGCCCTGCGGAGAAGGACTTGGGGTGCTGGTTGATGAGAAAATGAACATGAGCCGGCTTCAGTGTGCACTTGCAGCCCAGAAAGCAACCGTATCCTGGGCTGCATCCAAAGGAGCGTGACCAGCAGGTCCAAGGAGGTGATCCTGCCCCTCTACTCTGCTCTTGTGAGACCTCACCTGGAGCATTGTGTGCAGTTCTGGTGTCCTCAACATAAAAAGGACATGGAACTGTTGGAACAAGTCCAGAGGAGGCCACGAGGATGCTCAGGGGCTGGAGCACCTCCTGTATGAAGATAGGCTGAGAGAGTTGCAGCTGTTCAGCCTGGAGAAGAGAAGCTGCGTGGAGACCTCAGAGCAGCTTCCAGTGTCTGAAGGGGGCTGTAGGGATGCTGGGGAGGGACTCTTCATTAGGGACTGTAGTGATAGGACAAGGGGTGATGGGTTAAAACTGAAGCAGGGGAAGTTTAGATTGGATATAAGGAAGAAGTTCTTTACTGTAAGGGTGGTGAGGCACTGGAATGGGTTGCCCAGAGAAGTGGTGAATGCTCCATCCCTGGCAGTGTTCAAGGCCAGGTTGGACAGAGCCTTGGGTGACCTGGTTTAGTGTGAGGTGTCCCTGCCCATGGCAGGGGGTTGGAACTGGATGATCTTAAGGTCCTTTGCAACCCAAACTATTCTGTAATTCTAAGTCTCAAAGCTGCTTGTCAAGTGAGATGGTGGGTTAGGTTTTGGGGGCATTTTGTTTGGGTGTTTCCTTTTGCTAATCCTGGCTGTGATCTTCCTGCACAGTAAAAGAGTGGAAAATTTGAGGCTACCATTATGTTGTCTTTGTGCTTTGGGTGAGGTATTTATCCTAATTCTTATCCCAATTCCTTATATTTATATTTGTTGCATCAGTGTATTTCTTTTCTTTAACATAGTGAGTATTAAGTAACCTAATTATCACAATCATGTAATTTCTGTGGGATTTATCCACAGAAATTCTTCTTTTAACCAGTTTCAGTTAAACCACTGGCATAAAATCCATTTTTAACACCCAGAATATTAATGGTAGTACAGGCCAGTAAAGATCAGGTGCATTTTGACTTTGTTTTTTTCCCACAGATTGTTCAGTCATTGGTATTTCTGCTCCTTGCAACACTCTTCAGTGCAGTGACTGGTCTCCCATGGAGTTTGTATAACACATTTGTCATAGAAGAAAAACATGGCTTCAATCAACAGGTATTGTAGATAGCACTTACACTGACCTGACATCTTCAGTAGGTTTGGCTGGTCAGAGGGACTGGTATGTCCATATCTGTGCCAAAGATTATTAGGTTTAGGAACATTTCTACTCATACTGCATAAAAATAAGAGCTGTGACAGTTGGTTGAGCAGAAGTACCCATTCCTCAGCAAAATTCTCTGCCTGAGCTCATGCCATTGAGCAGGGAGTAATGTGTATTCTAGAACTGGAACAAAGACAGTTCATACCTCAGCTGTTCATTTCTGGATGCACTATCCTTTGCTTTCCATTAAGTCCGTCCTTAGAAGTCTGGATTATGGAGAAGTCTGGAGCAGACCTGAGCTGTGAACACAGAACAGATGAAACAAGACAGAGAAATTACTTTTCCCCTCATTTTGGTTCACTTATTTCTTGTATCAGCTGGTCCTAAATGAGAGAATTCAGCTCTTCATTTGTACTCCTGTCAGGTACTCAATATCAGCTCTGGCTTCCTTAATTTTTCTCACCAACTTAGTTTAACCTGCTTCAGTATCAGTTTCTCATGAGATCGGATTTTCCTTTTGGGAGGACAGCCTCAATCTAGGAGACATCCTTAGCCATTTCATGGCAAAGCATAAGAGTTTTTCTGCTTTTGGACCCAGCTACTGTTGTCTGCTGTACTTTTTGTTCAAAGCCTACTAGGAAGTTGTTTCTTTGTGTTGCTTAGTTTGGTTTTTTACAGTAGAATGAGATTTGGATTGGTAGCAGGTGTGGGGTAAAGCTGCTTGGCTCATTCCAGTAATGCTAGAGATACACTAGTACTTGCCAGTTTCATCTTCATCAGTATTTTCTGGTGTGCTCCAGTTGTGTGGGCATGTGTCTATACAATAGTGTTACTGCTGACACTAATGGCTGCTTAGCAAGAATCTGTTACCAGAGTGTGTGACCAGAGTGTACATGTCTAAAGGATAGCCTAAAATTTGGGGTTTATGTCCAATTTGTGTTTGTTAGTCATGGAAGTCTGGGGCATCTATCCAAATCCTTAGTTTTCATTAAAATCTGTTTTACCAGTATGCTTTTTCCTTTCCAGACAAGTTCCATATCTTTAACGTAGTGTGGGCTTTTTAATACAGCCTTGTTGGGAAGGATCTTTACATGCTACCCCCCTCACTTCTGTGCCTGGCAGATAGCTGTAAGTAATGAAGTAAGAACTCCTGAAAGAGCTAGTTGGGTGTCTGATCATGCTGCAGGGTCACTAGATCAGATTCATTCAGGTAGAGCTCTTTTGAAATATCTATTGCTTCAATTCAAGTTATCATTAATTTTAAAACCTGAGACAGTTACATGGGTAACTGTACCTGCAAGTGGAACTTGGAGTGCCCAATATATACCTAAAAATCTTTCATAGGACTTCTATATGTTTCCAGTTTAAACAATCAGCTTAGTGGTAAGAGAGAGTTAAGATGAATGGAGGCAACTGTTAAAGACAGTTTCCTCCATTACAGTAACTATGTTTCTGTAAGTTTCCTATTCTCTGAAAATCCCATAATGTCTTGGATATAGATTGGTAAAGGATTTAAGGGACAGATTAGCTTAAATTTTTCTTTCCTCCTTTAATGAAGTATGTACGTGCAACATAAAATAAAGGTTCTGACACCTTTTCTTAACCAACTCTAATTTCCTCATCCCATTGGTATTGCTGTTGTGTGATTTTGTTTCTGTGCATCCCCTGAAGGGATCAGTTCATTAACCACGGTGCCGCATCAGTATTTACATTGCAAATATTGCTGATCTCTTCTCTTTACAGACACTGGGATTTTTTTTTAAGGATGCTATCAAGAAGTTTGTCGTGACTCAATGTATTCTGTTGCCAGTGACATCCCTTCTGCTTTACATTATTAAAATAGGGGGAGACTATTTCTTCATCTATGCCTGGCTCTTCACATTGGTTGTTTCCTTGGTGAGTATGAGAATGCGGTGGGATTTCTTCCAACTGGTAATTTAATTGCATGGCTCAGTGTGCAAAGGAAATGGAGAAAAATCTACATCTCCCAGGAATTTAGTGTCTACAAACTGTACCAGTGTCTTGCTCTCAGTGTACTTGTTCAGGAATAATAGTTCATGTTAATTGTTCACATAAATGTATTATCTTAGATTTTCTGTATTTAATACTGGAGTGTCTTCATCAATTGATAAATAAACGTTCAGAAAGCTTTAATACAGGTACTGGAAATAGAACACACTGTGGTGAGAAGTTCCTTTTTCTTAGGTATAGAAAGGGCACAAGGAGAGCTGCCAGCAGTTTGGCAAGACAAGGCAGCATGTGCTTTCAGCAGTAAAGTTTCCATGGGGCTTTTCCTGCAGGTTATCGAGCACCACATCTCAGTTGCATTTCTTTGTATTGAGATGAGTAGCAATTTTCCACTCCTGGCTCTGCTTATAGAGCTGCTTTGCTACACTGAATTGGTAACTGATGTTTTCAGGGCTTATATTGAAAGGATCTTTCCATATACACTGTAAGCCTCAGTGGAACAGTCCATACCTGTGGGTTGTTCTGGTGTAGCCCTATGATTTGCAAAACCAGGGAGATATTAGTTCCTCACTGATATTTTAAGCCTTTAGTCTTAAAGGCTTTCAAGACTTGCTTTGTCATGGGAGGATTAAGCTGAAATGTTAAAAGAACTGGTAGTTTCAGGATTGAGAGAAGATACAGGATCTTCTGAAATGGCCTGCCCTCATTCCTACACCTAAGTGGGTATTTTTCCCCTTTGCTTCCTTTATACCAGTCATGGACTGCTTTTATTCTTCCCACCTTTTCATTAAAATATACGTAACAAAAAGTGTTGTACGATCTCATAAGAAACTTTCTGAATGTGTGCTATGGTCAATCTGCCAAACCTCCTCATATTTGTACTTCAGGCATCGTCTTCCATACCAGAGAGGCTTTAACCACTCGGCTTACTTAATTGCAGCACATTCATATTCATGAATAACCTGGGCAATAGTGTCCATTAAGTACACCCCTTGATCATGAGCTCATCTATGCGTTGCTTCCCTGCCTTGGTGGCCTAAGATGTCATGGGCCCACTGGGCTAGAAATAATTCACCCTTGTGTTGCCAGTCTAAATCCATCTGAGCCACTTCAATCTCAGCTGCTTGATCCACCTCTGGGTTGTCCTGGTGTTCCTCAGTGGCCCGACTCTTGGGTACATGAGCATCTCTATAGCGTACCTTCACCACCAGGTTCTGCACCCAGGCAGTGAAATCTTGCCACAGTGCAGCAGCCCAGATGGATTTACCTCTGTGTTGCCAGTTGCTCTGCTTCCATTGCTGCAACCACCCCCACAGAGCATTTGCCACCATCTATGAGGACCAGAACTGATACCACATTTCTTTGTCTGCCACTTCCCTATCCCAAACTAGTATTGTTTTTTGCTTTACCAGCCCCTTGAAACTGAACTCACCACACGTTTGTATGTCTTGTTTTTAACATCTGTATCATCTGTGTTTGCAGGTGCTTGTTACGATCTATGCAGACTATATCGCACCTCTGTTTGATAAATTCATTCCGCTTCCTGAGGGAGAGCTCAAGCAACAAATTGAAACGATGGCAAAGAGCATTGACTTCCCCCTGACGAAGGTGTATGTTGTGGAAGGTGAGATTTTGCGTTTTTTAATCAAAAGACTTTGTAATTTTGCATTTGTGGATTTTTAGCTTTGATTGTGGACACAGTAGTAGGGCAGTTGCTTACATTCCTCAGCTACTGTAATACCTGTCAATGCCTGTACCATTTCCTTTTTCTCACTTTGAGGACAGGAAAGGGAAGCAGAATGTACAGCCTTAACTCAGCATCAACATGGAAGTATTTTGGCAGTGTGGACTGGAAATTGATAGCACAAGTCAGAAATGGAAGCAGCAATGAAGATTTTCCAGTTTTAGAACTTCAAACCAGAGCAAAAGTTTATCATTCTTTTTATCTTTTCTTGTCCCAGCTTAGCATTAAGAGAGGGCTTGCTCAGCCTGGAGAAGAGAAGGCTCCAGGGAGACTATAGAGCAGCTTCCAGTGCCTAAAGAGGCTACAAGAAAGCTGGAGAGAGGTGGTATCTGTAGCTCATCTCTTCTCCTTATCTGTTTCTAACCTCTTTATCCTTATCTGTTTTGAGTCATCTTTGCTGGCACATTGAAAGAATTCTAAACATATTGGTCCCAGGGCCTTTGCTAGGAGAGCAGCACTTGTTCTGTGCCGAATGCTTTTCCCACTCTGAACCTCAAATTGCAATAGAAATGGCTTTTTTCCTGGATATTAGATCTTCCTGTGACAGCTCTTTTGTTTTCAGTGATTTTAGTAATTAGATGTTATGTATGAAACAAATTCTCACTTGGAGTCAGTAAATGAGGTCACCGTTACATCATTTTAAAGTATGCTCCAACCTGCGTATTTATCTGCTTGAGTTTGTATGCTGTTCATCTGGGGACTTTGAGAATTCATTTGGAAGAGTTTGTTCTATGTAATACTGCCCAGTCTTCAGTGCATGGGATTAGTCACATCATGGTCTTTAATGTATGTTTTTCTCATCAGGTTCTAAGCGTTCTTCTCATAGCAATGCTTATTTCTATGGCTTCTTCAAGAATAAGCGGATAGTACTCTTTGACACCCTCCTGGAAGACTATTCTGCCTTGAACAAAGAGCCAGCAGAAGGAGAAGATGGTGAGAATGAAGATACCAAGTCTAAAACCAAAGTGAGTTCGTCTTTGGTTTTCATCAGGTTGTTCACATTAACTTCTTGGTGAGATATTCCCTTGTGTTTTCTAATGTATTTTAAAGGTCCTGAGTGAGATGCTAAAATCCAAAATCTAATGGTTTCAACACCAAAGTATCCTTGAGCTTCTAATTGGAATTTCTGGGGCTGTGTGAGTGGTACAGAAAGCACCAAAGAGACCACAGAGGTCGACATGGGCTTTAGCAAAACACTGGTTCTCTGCACGTGAAAAATGAGCCTTCCTTGAAATTGGTTGAATAAGAAACCTGTTCTGGGGTTTAGCTCATGTTCCTTCACACACACACACAGACAGATCCACATGTGCATAATAAGTAAGAAATTTATTCACTTATGTTCAGTCATAGCTGATATTACTTCTGCTTTGTTATATTCTCTCAGAATAAGAAGCAAGGATGTAAAAATGAAGAAGTTCTGGCTGTACTTGGTCATGAATTGGGTCACTGGAAACTAGGTCACACTGTCAAAAACATTATCATCAGCCAGGTAAGTTATGATAAACGGGTGGTTTTCCTGGAGCCTTCTGTTACTATTGCCATTTCCCAGTGTCTGCTTCCAGATTTGCAAGTGCACATTCACACAACGTACTTCTGCTCTGCAACAAAATGTATGCTTGTTTTTTTTTTCCTTTGCTATGCCTACAGTGAGCATGCACTGGCCTTTCTGCCCCTTTTTGCTCCAGCTGGTTGGTCGTGTTGTCCCAAGTCTGGGTTCTTTCATCAAGCATGCAAAAAGCCAATAAACACCCAGGGTTGAGGTATTTATTTCATGTCTGCAGAGATGTGTGCTAGGTGATAATTCCACAAAGCTAGCACATCAGTGCTGCTCAAATCACAACTACTTCTACACCAAACATTAACATATTCAATCTTGTAATACGTATGTATTGTTATTCACTTACATGATTGGCTAAAACTTACTTGCCCAACATGTAGGTTAATATGCATGCTCCCTACAATTTGTAAGATTCCCACTTCCTTAATCTTTTGAAGAGGTGCTATACCCGAGGTTGGTGGTTGTGATCTTCCCCTGCCAGAATTACCTTTCCCCTATTTTCATCTGCTTTTGGCAGTTCTGAATGGTACTTCACAGACTGGTGCCCTAACAAACATTACTCTGGAATGGGTTGCCCAGGGAAGCTGTGAATGCTCCATCCCTGGCAGTGCTCAAGGCCAGGTTGGACAGAGCCTTGGGTGACCTCGTTTAGTGTGAAGTGTCCCTGCCCATGGCAGGGGGGTTGGAACTGGATGACCTTAAGGTCCTTTCCACCCCTAACTATTCTATGATTCTGTGATGCTGTGATTCACTTCCGTGGTCACCATCTGAGACAATTTCCTACCCATTGCTAAAATTCAGGCAGGTCCACCAAAAAAAAGTTCAGCTAAGTTAATGTTAACCTTTGAGTTCAGAAAATGTTTCTTTAGTGCATGGGAAGGCCAGATGTTTGTTCCTCTTTGTGTATTTGTTCTAAAGTATTGATTTGTGGGGTTTTATTTCAGCGGTGTTTCTATGCAAATCTGTAATGTGAATAGGCTGTGTTTTAGACTTAGATCATAATCTAAGAATGTTGTTTCCTTTTTCTAGATGAATTCCTTCCTCTGCTTCTTCTTGTTTGCTGTGTTAATTGGTCGAAAAGAACTCTTTGCTGCATTTGGTTTCTATGACACCCAGCCTACCCTCATAGGCTTGATGATTATTTTCCAGTTCATTTTTTCACCGTACAATGAGGTAAATTGATTTCAAGACGTAGATGCTGAAATACCATACTCTTTAAATAATGATTTTATTTTGACTGGGTTGGGGGAAGTTTGAGGTTTCTTGGGGCTCTGGTATCTTGTTCCCATAAATAGGCTTATTGCTCCATGTTGGGAAGACCCTCAGTTTCAGGTGCAGCCTAGATAAACTTTAGTGGGATCATTCTACCGCCACAGCGATGTGTGGGATGTGGGAAGGTAGATAATGTAGTACTTACTTACCGATAAGGAACTTGCAGATATCTGAATTGTAAAATCAGTTTTAATGTGTTTCTCTCCACAGGTTCTCTCATTCTGTTTGACTGTACTAAGCCGTCGATTCGAGTTTCAAGCAGATGCATTTGCCAAGGAACTCGGGAAGGCTAAAGACCTCTATTCTGCTTTGATCAAGCTGAACAAAGATAATTTAGGATTCCCTGTTTCTGACTGGATCTTTTCAATGTGGCATTACTCCCATCCACCCCTTTTAGAAAGACTTCAGGCCTTGAAAGTTGCAAAGCAAGAGTGACAGGAACCTTTGGTGGTTCAGAGACAGTGCTTCCGTCTCAGAAGCAAAGTTCAGAGCTGCATTTTAATTTCTTTTTTTTTTTAAATGGATGATGCCAATTAAGTGCAATGTTAACAGCGCCATAATCCGAGAATCCCGAAACAGGTATTAAATTATAAAAGACTTTTTTTAACAAAATATAAAACTGTGGAAATGTAGAAAAAGTACTGGGTGAAGACCTTCCCCCCCCCCCCCCCCCGTTTTTTCTCTCTGTATCATAGTATAGACTTGTAAAGGGAGGAAAACAAAAGTATAGACTTCAAAGCACCTGTAGGTTTCAGTTTGTGTATGCCTTGAATGTTGCTTTTGATCTTTTTTCCCATTCCCAGCATTCTGTGAACTTCCCCAGGCTGAACCCTCTTCACAATGAAGGGGGTTTGAAGGACTTGATTTCTTGTGTAGCACTGCTTGTGCTTGCCTGTCACTGGTGGTTTAAAGAGTCGAATGCAAGTACAGGCCTTTCTCCTGGGTTCATGTCTGTCGTAATTCAAAATGCTCCTTAATAAAACCTCCTTTCTCCGAAGTGTGGGAAGAAGGATGAATTACAGCTGAAGAAACGTGCCATGGCATCCTTGAAAAGGAGCAGTGGTCCGTATTTAGTAGCATTATAGTGGGATTATGTTCCTCCTCCACTGTGCTGCTGGGGGTGTGGATGTTACGGGGAAGCGGAACAGGACCCATATGTTTGAAAAAGTCACTCAGTCTCAGTTCTTCTCCCTTTGGCCTGTGAGCAGAACCATTAACAGCTGTTCCATACCTCAGTTCCTCCATTTCTCTTGCTCTTTGCCTAAATTTTCTGTGATACGGAAGCATCAAGTCTCTCAGAGCCAAACTTTCATTCTGAGGTTTGTCCTCTGCTCCATGGAGGGGTTGCCATTAATATGGATCCAACTAAAAGAGCAGTGCTGGAGTACTTACAAAATATTCCTTGATGTTGTTCTGATATAAAAGGCCCAAGCCACAGTTTATTCATGCAGATCAGCAAAGGACACAGTGGTAGAAATGGCTTCTGCATTGATGAGCTCAGATTTTTCTGATGAAAGATGGAATTAAATTTACTCTTGTTAAAAGTGAGCTATAGATTTATAATGGTTTGGACCAGACTGAATGCAAATACTTCATACAAACCTCAGATTTGTGTGTCTGTGGTAAATGAAAAGGTTCTGCTCGGCTCTGTACAAAGAGAGAAGTTGAAGCAAATTCCCATTGTTTCAGATGCCAGAGTATTCTCTGAGAATTTACCACAGCTTAAATTTGCTTTTCTGATTATAGGGAAAAATGCCTTCTAAGATGATGGGCATGATGATGTCTCAGGTGCAACACGATACAGGATGTGGCTGGAAGCCCTTTGTATGCCTTATTCTAACTCTTTGTACCCTAGTGAATGTGAAGCTGACCTATAGATAGAGACTTAGGAGACAGTTTTACGAACAGGGGGAGCCAGTATCTGTCATGTTAACTGCACTTAATGGCCCTTGAAAATAAAAGGATTAACTTGAACCTGTGAATTCAGAAGAGTAAATGAATGTGTCAGGTTTTGACTTTGAGATGTTGGTTGGCGTAAACCTGTGGGAAACATGTCAAGTGTGCTCTGAAGAACCCATTTGTCTCATCTATTAGGTAAAACTGAGGCTCAGAACTGAATTTTGTGACTATTTCAAGAATTCAGCTTGGCACAAATAAAAAGTAAAGTGGGATAACGGTGGAAATGCCACTCCCTATGGAAGCATGAAATACTAGAATCCAGACCAGTGCTGGGGCACAGTGTGTGTCCTGGGATTAGGCACACATCCCTTCTGGTCAATGATCAGTTTTGAAGAGAGGCAAGAAAATCAGCAAGAAGCAGGCTTCTGTCTTGTGTTACCTTTAGGTGATAATGTTCGGGCTGCTCAAGGCAAGAGCAGAAGGGTGCTGGCAGCACGCTCCACACCGGGCCCATGGGGCTGGTGAGCACTGACCGGCGGTATCATGCCCAAAGCCTGATAGCTCCAGCTTCCCATTCCCTGCCTTACCAGCTTTTCCTGATGGTGGAAGTAGAAGCCTGAGGGAGGACTTGGTGAAGAAAAGTCCCAGGCCTTAGAAGGAGTCAGGAGGAGGACTCAAATTGGGATGTTTGATGGAAATGGGCACTGCCTTGCAGCACTTTCAGACCATTTTGAGTGTGTGCTTGAGCTCAGAACCCTCTGTGTTCTGGGCTGCAGCCCATGAACAGCAGCTCAGGGAGGGGATCCTGCCCCTTTGCTGTGCTCTGGGGAGACCCCCCCCTGCAGTCCTGATCCAGCTCTGGGGCAGCAGCACAAGAGGGATGTGAAGCTGCTGGAGCGAGGCCAGAGGAGGCCATGGAGATGCTGCGAGGGCTGGAGCAGCTCTGCTCTGGAGCCAGGCTGAGAGAGCTGGGCTGGGGCAGCCTGGAGAAGAGAAGGCTCCTGAAGGGGAGACCTGAGAGCAGCTCCAGTGCCTGAAGGGGCTGCAGGAAAGCTGGAGAGGGGCTTGGGACAAGGGATGTAGGGACAGGCCAAGGGGAATGGCTTGAACCTGCCAGATGGGAGACTGAGATGAGCTCTTAGGCAGAAGCTCTTCCCTGTGAGGGTGCTGAGGCGCTGGCACAGGGTGCCCAGAGAAGCTGTGGCTGCCCCATCCCTGGCAGTGTTCAAGGCCAGGTTGGACACAGGGGCTTGGAGCAAGCTGCTCCAGTGGAAGGGGTGCACTGGGGGTTAGAGCTGGGGTCCCTCCCAACCCACCCCGGGCTGCGGTTCGATGCCTCCATGGATCACGCTGTCACACACCCGCCTCCGCACCGCGCTCTCATCGCCACGGGGCTCACCCTCTTCACCACCCGTCCCCCGGTAACCCCCGGCCCCGCGCACGCGCCCCGGTGCGGCCCGGACGTGACGTCAGTCGGCGGCGCGGCGCGGCCTCCTTCGCTCCGCGGCTCGGGCTCCTTTGTGCGGCGCGGCCGGGGCGATGCTGTCGGGGGGCAAGAAGGGCGCGGAGGCGGCGGCGGGCGGCGAGGGCGGGCCTGAGGCTCCGGTGCCTCCGCCCGCCGCCGCGGGGGCCCCGGGCTCCTCTGCCGAGAGCGGCGGCGCTGCGGAGCGCACGCCCCGCAAGAAGGAGCCGCCGCGGGCCTCGCCCCCGGGCGCTCTGTCCGAGCCGCCGGCAGCCGGGGCCGGCCCTGCGCCCGGCGCCGAGACCACGGGCACCGCCGAGACCCCCGAGGGCCGCAGGACCAGCCGGCGCAAGCGGGCCAAGGTGCGTGGGGGGTGCGGGGCTGCGTGCGGGCGCGTTGCGGCCCTTGGGCCCCCGCCGCCGCTCGGTGCCGCCCGGGCGTTAACTGAGGTTTACCGGTGCGCTCTAAAGGCTGCAGGCAGCCTGTGGTCATTGGTGCCTTTGTGTGTGCCTGGTGTGTAACAGCCGGGAGTTGCTCTGAACATGGAGAAATCGCCATTTCTTTTGTGGAAGTTTCATTGGAAAGCTCCCTGCAGGAGGCTTTGAGGCTCTGCTGTGCCCGTGCTGGGTGGGTTCGATGCGGAAGCTGAAAACACTCCTGGGAACTCTGTTGTGCTGTAGCCCCGGCACTGAATGGCTTCCTCTTCAGAGCTCCTACCCCATGTGATAGTTCGACCGGTCCTTCCTATGTAGGAGTTGCTGGGTAGGTCAGCCTGGTGCATCCTGGAACCTGCCAGAGGGGAGACTGAGATGAGCTCTTAGGCAGAAGCTCTTCCCTGTGAGGGTGCTGAGGCGCTGGCACAGGGTGCCCAGAGAAGCTGTGGCTGCCCCATCCCTGGTAGTGTTCAAGGCCAGGTTGGACACAGGGACTTGGAGCAAGCTGCTCTAGTGGAAGGGGTCCCTGCCCATGGCAGGGGTTGGAGCTGGAGGAGCTTCAAGGTCCCTTCCAACCCAGGCCATTCTGTGATCTCTAGATGCACCATACCTGGGTTTTACTTGCTTTACAGTTGTCTGTTTACAAGCAGGAATCAGTGCATGTCTGTGGGTTTGCTAAGGGTGGTAATCTCTTTTGGCAGAGCATCTCCCCATCGTCACTTCAGGGTAGCACAGGGTCACCTTACTGTGAATGTCTGTGGGGTGCCCTCAATTGAGGAGGGTGTCCAGGTTGAAAAAAAACCTAGGGAAAAGCTTGGAGTTTTCGTTGGACTCAGTTCTCTGCAAGTTGTGTGAGCTCAAGGAGGAGGGGAGGCTTCAGAGGGCCTTAGGGCAGAAGCAGTTTGTGTTGGGTTTAAATACCTGTGATAATGTACTTATGGTGCCGTGGGATCATTGAAACTTGCTTCAGAACCTGGGTTCACAAGGTCCTGGGGGTGCAGCTTTTGCTGGGCAGTGAGAAGTGAATGTGCTGGACAGGGAACGTCAGCATCTAAAAGGTGGCTCATGTTGGTGTGTTGGTGTTGGTGTTTTACTGAATTCAGGCTTTCCTGTACATGACTTCCCAGTGCTGTTGGGAATTGTGCCTGTTCTTGCCCTGTCTTAATGAACTTGGACTGTGGCAGACGTGTCGATCTCCTGAAGACACATGGAGAGTTGCTTTGGTCATCACAAGGTGACCTCTAGGATGCTGGAGGGTCACAGCTGCTTTCTCTTTCCCATGTCTGCATATTGAGAAGTGGTTTATTCCCTTTCCAACAGGTAGAAATACACAAAGTTTCTAACGTGGGGAAGAAAGCCTGGTTTCTGAACCAGTGTGAGATGCACCCAAGGAAATCCATGTGGGGTTTCCTCAGTGAATCTTGTGTACAGGTCTGGTCACCCATGTTTGACAGCTGAATTCAAGCTGGAATATATGGGTTGGACATAGAGATGATTTTGTTACCCCTGGGCTTGACAGGGAGGTGAAGAAGGGGGAGAAGGCCAGAGAGGTTGAATGATAATGTAACAAATACCAATAAACTGGGCTCCGTAGGAGCAGGAAGTTCCTACTATTGGACAGTTGGGTACCGAAGACTTTAGTGGAGGTAGAGCAGGGAGCTCACTAAGCTGTTGGAGATTTTATGACCCGGCAGCTGTAATAAGACAAGGTAAGTGAGGCCTTTTGAGCTATAGGCAGTTCTGTTGTTTGCAGTGTTCATTTTATCAGTGACACTTAGAGACATCTGCAGTGTGTTTATCCTCTGTTGTGGTTCTTACAGGTGGAGTATAGAGAGATGGATGAGAGTCTTGCAAACCTGTCAGAAGATGAGTATTACTCTGAGGAAGAGAGAAATGCTAAGGCTGAGAAGGAGAAGAAACTGCCGCCACCACCTCCACCAGCTCCTGCAGAAGAGGAGAATGAAAGCGAGCCGGAGGAGCCGTCTGGTGAGTAGAGAGACCTTCTCCTCCTCCTCTGACACTACTTACCTCTTCTATTGCCAGAAATTAAGTGGGGTCAGGTGCAGCATCATGAATCTTGAGTCCGGTTTTGGATGATTGTTGTACAGTGTTTTCTTTGGCCCAATATGGGAAGGAGGGGAAATCACAGAAGAGCAGCCTGGTAAAGATGAGAATATGCATGATTTAATTCCAGATCTAATAAGCCAAACTTCTCATGCTATATTCTCATTATCCTTATTGACTTGTCTTTGGAAGCTTATTGACCAGAACAGCCTCTTTGGCATTTAACTGTCACACCAGCTTGTGTACCAGCAGTCACTTATTCCTCTGAGAGGTTAGATTTACTGAGGGGATCGCTATGCAGGAGAACAGATTTAATCTACAGTGATTCCTGTGGCTTTAAAACTATGACTGATCTTAAGTTCTGGTTGGATCCTGTTTGCTTAAACTTCAGTGCTTTCCTTATTGCCTTTGACAGACTTGCCAAGCTTCACTTTTCATTGGAAAGGTTTTGGGTCAGTCTTGTTCAGGAAGCAGCTGCTTGTGAGATTTCATGGGGTTAGCAGTACCCTCTCCCTCTGTTGTGTTTCTGGCTACCACCAGTAGCTAGGTCTGGTGTTGATGTGTCACTCTGCTATGTACAAAATCACACTTTGGCAAAGTGTAGCTGTTGCAGAGACTCTCTGAGGTGATGTGTGCACAGCTGGTTTTAGACAGTAGCTGAAATCTAGTGGCTGAACTCATGATAGCTCATCACTGATGTGGGTAACTGTTAATGTTCAGTTCTGCTGCTTTTATTTGGCTTCTTTTGGCTGGCAGGCTTGAGAATGTAGACAATGTGACTGATGTCATTTTGGGGATACTTGCCTTCAGTGTCAGAATATGTATTAATAGCCACAGTGGTGTGCTGTCTCTTGGGATTTGCCCCTGTAATCTCTGTTCAGTTGTGGCTGTTGGCTTCTGGCTGGGTACTGGAATAGTGTAGCTCATCAGCTTGACTGAAATATTTGCAAGGATGGAAATCCTCCCTGCCCCCAGCTGAAGCTGATCTATCAGAAATGGAATTTTGATATGTGTAATTAAGCAAGTATCTTAAAGTTTTCAATTTAATTTAGTTCAGACTTTGGGTTTAATCCCTGAGACCTGATATTAACACATTTCTGGTGTTCTCAGATGTTTCGTGAGAGATCTCTCAGATACCTCTGCCATTTTGCACCTCTAGGAGTGATTACTGGAATCAGTTTGAGGTATAATCAGTGAAGTGTTTTATCCTGTGAAGGAAGAGTTGTGGAAAATAGGCAGTGATAGACACATGCTGTTCTATCCATACAACACTCTGTTAGGCAGTTATTCCACAAGCACTCGATTTAGTCATCTAAATACAATTTGAGAATGGGCTATATCCAGCTGCCTAGAAATAAGGAGATTTCAGGTCATTGTATCCTTTCTCCATTCCCAGAAATGCTGTGATATGCATGCAGCAGTGATGTAGGAAGATGACACATTTTCCCTTGTCATTCCATAGGTAGTCCTGCTGTATTTCTAAAGGCTTCTGAAACCCTGTACATTGATGGATCTCTCTGTCTTTGTTAATACAGGTGTCAGGAGCATCAGGTCATCTCTTGCTGGCTGTTAAAGTGCACTGAAACTTCTAATTCAAACAGCTGTCAGCAGGAAGGGGCATTGGAGTCTGCTGTGTATAGAAGCAGTGTTTATGATTGAGTTGTTTTTCTCTCTGTTGCTGCTTTGAAGCAAATAGAAACGTTCAATAAGAAGTATTGAATAGGATGATAATTCTAGAGCAGGATTGCATATTGAAAATACAACAAAATACAACAAGTTGGTTGTGTATTGCTGTTAATTTATTCTCATTGCAGACCTGAATAATTTCCTTGGTATGTTTAAAGCCTGTAAAAACATAGGTAGTGCAGTAGAGGTGTAAAGCTGTCATGTTATAGGTTATGACCTTCTGTGTTGAAAAGCCTCATTTGCAAACTTAACCATGTAATAGGGACAGTAGCTGGTGTTTCATTAGTCTGTCCTCACTGTCAGTTTACAGTAGAAGGAGGTTATTAAATATCCCACTTCAGGTGACAGCAAAATGCTGGTCGTATTTGGGGTGGGTTCCATTGATGTGTTCCGCAGTGGGAAATTCCAGATGTTTTGGCTGTGTGAATTGTTATAGTCTGGATTTGCAGGATCTGCTGCGTTTTATTGCGGAGCAGTTTGAAAAGGTGCAAGAGGATTTCATGATTAAGGCAATTTCCTTGAAGTATCTCTCCTTTTTTTTAATTGAGAAATATTTTCTGATGGCAAAAAGCTTCCAAACTCACTGTCAGTGCTGAGTGACATTTGTGGTGGTTGCCAATATCCCTTTGGAATAAGGAGCTTGCTGCTTTTGTTTTTCTCTTCTAAGGATCTTTCTTGTTTGTCCTTGCCAGATGGGATTTTCACTTTTCTGGCCTCCTGAAGATACTCTTTACCAGCTCCTTTTCTTCCTCTTGTCTGTGGGCATCTTGTGTTTCTAGCTGCTGTTTTCCAAGAGAGCGCAAGACTGATCATGATGCAGATGGATGTCAAGTGAACAGTCAGACTCGGTGCTGCTCTCTCTGTCTTTCATCTGACTTGTCTGTTTTCCTGATGAAATTCAGTGCACATTTGTAATCAAGGGCCACCAGTCTTGATTTTAAGACATTATGAGGTGGACTCTTTTGTTGCCCTTCTTCCTGCCTGCTCCTCAGCTGGTATTCTGTTGCCTTGAGACTTCCAACAGATTCTGCTCCTGCTCATGTTGTGTTGGGCTGCAGTAACTGGGTGTCAGCAGGGATCAGCAGTTCACTTGCTGCTCTGTTCCTTTGCAGCTGGAACCTGACTTTCTTAGGGGAAGGAGAGCAACCTGAACTAGAGACCTTGTTTCCATACTTCTGTACTTGGACTGGGTAGTGATCAGGATAGTGATAGTAATAGTGATGCTTTCTTCTTTGACATGCTTTAGCTGTTCCTAACAGAAGAGGGGGAAATGCTGATGTCTTCTTGTAAGTAACCTGGGAGCAATTTTGTCCCATCTCCTCATTGTCAGTACTAGTTCAGGGATAATGAATGCAAGAAGCTGATGTCAGCATCTTTTCAATTTCTCAACTTACAGAAGGCATGAATACAACTTTTCCTGCAGACGAATGGCCTGTGCTGGAGGTTAAATATGAATGTTTTTGTTGTGTTAGTCTTTCCCAGAACAGAAGCAGGTCTTGGAATGTTCCCAGCAAAATAAAGTACTTCCAGTGTAGATGAAGTGAGAATTTTTTTCTTCCTGTTCCAGATACATCAATTCATATAATCCTGAGTTTGGGACTTCTGAGGCCTCTGAAAATGCAGTTATGTGTCACGGTCTCTTGTGAGTTTCTGAACATGTTACAACATTGCAGATGTTAATCCAGGTTATCAATGCATGAAAACGTTTGGTTCACTTTCTGTGCCTTTGCTTTAGGGGTAAGATTTGTGATTCAGCTGAAATTCAGCTGCAATTGCAGTGCATCCCCTGAGAGCCTCAAATTGCAGTCTGGTGAAATTGGGCACCCAGTTTCAGCCTCTGAAGAGTAATCTTAGCAGTTGTGTGTTCAGCCTTAGGTTAGGCCGTACTCTTGCCTGTTTGGAGATGACACCTTGAGCAGTTCTGCTCTAGGAAGTGGCTGTTCCATTTGCCACCAGGACCTCAGCAGTTTGTTTCAGTGGGGGTTTGCTTGGTCTTGAGAAAGGACCCAGTTTGCTGCCTGTTGAAGCATTGGGTTGAAGGAGCCTTGGTACAGCAGCAGCCAAACAGTGCTGGGCTGTCCCTGTAGCCTTCCATGGCTTTCTGCTCTCTGGAGATGACAACAGTAGGCAAATACCTGACTGTGCAAGGATATTGTTTATGAGCTGAACTTGGAGCTAGCATCTCTTGTGACTGTGAGCAGTGTGTGAGGTGACCTGCATTACCTTTGTTCCTGCAGATCTCTCGGCTGTACTCCATCTCTGTTCCTTGTTGTGCTGTAGTCCTCTCAAGGCTGCTGTTTAGGACTTGCATGCAGGCTAAGGCAGTTTTGAGACTTCTCCAGATCTTTCAGATGAGTGCTTTGCCTTTCCTCATGTTTCCAGCCCTGGATACATTGGAAGACTGATGTCTTTCAGTGCTGGGTATTGGTCACATTGCATGGATTGACATGTACTTGGTTCAGAGGTGGTCTTTGTGTGTTAGAACATTGTTGGTGGATCAAGGGCACTGAAGCCAAAACAAGTGGTCTGAGCCTTTCAAACCCAGTGCTGTCATCAAGCTTCAGGGAAGGGTTTATGGCAGAATACTAAAAAGAGCAGGCACTTTTGAGAGCAAGAGGCTTTTTGGAATGGTTCAAACTATCCCCTTGCACATGGAGAGACTCAGGACAGCGAGGGCAAGGTTATCAAATTCCTATGGTGTGCGACCCATAGAATGTGATGGTACCCACCCACCAGCTCTTGGCAGTAAGAAATGTAAACTTATTAATCAAACCCTAGCCGTTCATGAAGTTGATCATAAGTATTTAGCCACTAGGAATGTTGTGTACTTCTTTATGTCCCATTAAGTCTGATGTAAAGCGTTCCAATACCATGGATAACACGTAGAAGACTGCAGAGATTGGTGCCCTGAACCTAGGTTCCAGCAGATGGGATTCTCAGGAAATGGGTTTAGCTGGTTGGTGGAATTTAATATCTACAACGCCAACTGCCGGGCCTTTATGTCCAGTATGGTTTAACTTATGGAGTAAGGTCCCTGAGTTCTCCTCTTTCCTTCCACAGGGCAAGCAGGAGGACTTCAAGACGACAATTCTGGAGGGTATGGAGACGGCCAAGCATCAGGTGAGGGTGGTGTTTGATGCTTGCCAATTGGTAGCAAGAGCCGCCAGGTTAGGGAGTGATGCTTGCAAGTGCGCACGGGTGCGGTCGTTGAGGACGTAGCCAGAGGTACAGGAGCTCTTTAACAAGTGAGGGGTATTTCCAGCTTCAGCTGAGGTCTGTACCAGCTGCAGGGAGGACACCAACCTCTGTTGAAAAGCCTCAGGCCGATCTCTCATCCCTCCGCTCCTCTCCTTGTTCAGAGGAGTCCAAACGTGCAGAAAGGTGTTTCTTACCTGGCCAGTTTCTGCCACCCTGAGTGACACCGAAAGGCCTGGGCTCCAGCACAGCAGAGCCTTTCCTCTGATCTGCTGAAGAAACCTGGCAGGGAGTGCCTTTCTGCTCCTTTGTTCTTGTGCTTTTCCCTTTTGAGAGGTTTGGGCTTGAGCCAGTGGTGAGCCCAGGAGATTTATCTGTCAGGGACAGGCGTAGTCTGCTGCTGGGTTGGGAATTCGCCGTTTGGCCTGAGCTCTGATGCTGGCAGCATGCACTTACTGCTCGATTCCCCCACAGTTGGTGTCTTTACTCCTGAGTACTTTGAGTGCAAGGGAAAATCTTCCCCTAGCTCTGCCACTTCTCTCACTTGAGGATTGAGGATTAGGGTTTGAAGCAAAGGAGCTGAAGGACCTTTAAGACAAAGGACCTGTACCTCCAGGTTGCTCTTTTTGAAGCAAATGTAACTTCAGGATACTCATCTGAGGGTGCATCCTTGCTGTTCTAAGTAAAGAAGTTATGGTTTGGATCTTACCACTTGCACGGGATTTCTGGCTGTTGCAGATTGTGGGGTTAAGGATGCGTTGCCTGCTTTGTTTTCAGGCAGGCACTGGCTGTTTGGAAATTGGGCATATTTTGCATTTGATTTATATGCTGAGGGTGTGCTGTAACAATTGTCTGATTGAGCAGCCAAGTGACTTCCCTTCAGAGGGTTTTAATCTGCACATGTTTCAGTAAGTCCATAAATGAGCAGCATCTCTCAAGATCCCTCATGTGGGGAAGAAGATAATCAAAACTTCAGCACGTTGGTGGCTGAGGCTGGATGTCAGGAAGTGGCAGTGTGTGCACAGCTGTGTGTCAAGAGATGAGCATCCAGGAATTCAGTCTAGGCTGACCTGTCTCTTCAGTCATGAAACAGTTGCCTGCCCCAGGGACAGTTCTGAACTGGTACTGGCTTCACTGTGTTGCTTTTGTGAAACACAAGCAGTAAGGATGTGGGATGGGGGGATTTAACCACTCTGAAATGGATTTCACTTGGAGTTGTGTAGTTGCAGAAGTAAATTCAGGGACGTGGAGGTTTTGGAAGATCTTCTGATGGCTGGGCCAAATGAAATGAAGTGTTTGCTGGGTTTGGGTGTTGCCATGGACATGTGGCCCTAAAAACCCCAAACCAGCAATCCCTTCCTCCTGCTTGGGGTTATTTCCAGGGCTGTTCCTCTGGCTTCTCAATTGGAAGAAATGGGTTACAGAGCTTTCCAAGAAACTAGTGAGATCCCTTGATGGACGTGTGCGAGTTTCCTGGTAGCTGACCACTGTGCCACGGGCGATGCTCTTTAGCAGATGGCAGGAGAAGCACATTCCTTGTATCCACCTGTAAGAGGGAGTCAGGTTTATCCCTGGAGAAGCTGGAATTCCAGCAGAGCTGCGGGTTTCTGCTCCATCACTGAATATTGGTGTCAGAAAGTGTTGTGGTGTGTTAACTTCTCCTGTTATTAATTCCATTTTACTTTCTTGCAGTGCTCTGTTGCCTCTGGTACTAATTTCCTCTTGTTGTAAAATCCCTGTGAATGATCATAGACCGTTTTCTTTCCCTTGAGCCATCATGCGGTTCGGTCTTATCTTTGCTTGTGAATGCACTGTGGGGTTTTAGCTTTACCACCATTTCCTTGCTTACATTTTTTCCTTCACCTTTGGGCTGTAAAAACCCTTGGAAGTTAAAGGTGTGTGTGCCTGCACCAGAACTGAAAGAAGAGAAGTTTTCTCCCCAGTACAGCCACACGTGTACCTCTGCACATGAACCTCAAACTTGCAAACAGTTGTCTTGGTTACTGTCATAAACTGCAAGCTTGTCTGGTCTCTGACATTGTTAGAATCTTTTGGAACAGTTCCAGTTTCAGTGGATGATCCTGATCTTACTGCATTACCTGTGTGGTTTTTCTCTTGAGATACTGGTTTATATCTTTCCAGGTTGAATGTCCTCTCCTCTGTCTGTCCCGATCTTAAGACACTTCCTAGGACATAAGAGTTTATCTTGTTCTTGCTGCATTTCCCATCTCAGTATTGCATTTGCCTCACTGCCTGCAGGGTTTTCTGCACTTGTGCTGTAACACTTCATGCAGCTGTGGTTTGGTTTGTTACTTTAGAGTGTATTTTATATACAGTATAACAGTGAAATGCGATGGAGAATGTAGGGCCCATAACTGTGTGATTACTTCATTGCCAGTGTTTGAATTGATAGCAGTGCAGGTACCTTTATGAATGAAGTCTTTCCACAGATAAAAAGTCTCCTGTATATATTCAACGTTGGTCTTTGACATGTGGAGCAGCACTGGGGGGGGGCACAGGAAAAGCATGAATGGGAGTGTTTGTCATTGCACTGCCGGTGGGGAATATGGCAAATGTGGACAAGGAGAGGTCAAGAAGGGATCCTCCAGGTTGAGCTCCGTGCAAATGAGACCCTTGAAAAGCACATGAGGGCTGTAGGCGTTGTGCTTGTGCCTCACAGATCTTTTGGCTTTGAGCAGGCTCCAGAATGTTTTTCATGTTTTGGTAGAAACTGGAAACCACGCAAATGAAGGACAGATTCTAAAGCGGTTTTATTGCTACTGTATTATAGATGTGTTGTATTTGATACATGTTTTATTGGTATGTGCCCGGCCCCCTTTGTTTCTCAGGGTGTTGGTTGGGGTTTTTGCTTGTTTGTGGTACAGTTTGTTCATTAACCCTGGCTGATGCCTGTAGTTCAAAGAACTGTTCACTTGGGAACCTGCTTGTCCTGCAGAAGTAAAGAGAAGGGCTAAATGAAAGCATGGCACGGAACTGGCCCCGTATCACCTCATGGCTGGATGCGCTGGCTAGGGAGGGTAGTGTAAAAGTGCTTACCTAGCAGATCCTTTTGCAGTGCCTGTAGACAACTTGTCTTTTTGTTGTAGGTGTGGAGGGTGCAGCTTTCCAGAGTAGACTTCCACATGACCGTATGACATCTCAAGAAGCTGCCTGCTTCCCTGATATAATCAGTGGGCCACAGCAGACCCAGAAGGTGTTTCTGTACATCAGGAACCGCACTGTAAGTTTATTGTGAAAGTATTGCTGACAGAAGGGTAGGACATTTGTGCACCTTGCAAGGGCTGTTTGGCAGTTACCATGTCTGAGAGGTGGGAGATTTCCTTGCGTTTGAGATGGTGGGGGTTCATTTCTGCAATTGCTTCATGCTCTGAGTGTCTAAGGAAGGAGTTACCAGTTCTTGATTGAGGCAGTGCTGTGAGGCAGCATAAAGAACCTTTAGTACCTTTACAGTGTCCAAAACATGGTCATAACAACCATCAAAATGACGTGATTCAGCTGCTACAGCTTTTTAAAAGGTGAGCAAACAGAAACCTGATGCAAATGTTCTATTGATTTCAGCTTAAAGAAGTGTCTGTAGAATACTTTATGGTAATAATCACATGCATTGTTGCTTAGAATAAATCGCACCTCTGAGCTTTTATTTTCTTACTTTGCTTAGCATTCAGTTGCTGTAGTGCTGAGCTATTAAGCCAGTCTTGTGGCTTATTCTCACAACAGAACAGTTACTTTACCAGCTTTGATTTCATGAAAGAACCTGTAACTTTGAAGAAAGGAAACTCTGCTTCTGACTGTTTGTAGCATTTCTGCCTAATTCAAAACTTCTCACAACGTAAAACACAGAAAGAAGGGGCAATAGTCAAATAATTCACAGGGGAGTTCATGCACTTGAGTTCAGGCCAGCACCTCAAGGCTAAACCTTAACAAAACTTAGTGTCATTGTGTTTTGCAGGTGATGTTTTTAAATTGTGACAATGCTTTTGGGTTCTTTAGCACAAAAATGGGGTTCAAAGCAAGAAATATTTTGAAAATTGCTTTGTTACCATAGTTAAGAGAGAAAACTCCTTGCATTCAGTTTTTGTCACAGACTCAAGATGATCAGGGGCATCACAGTGTATCGATCATGGTAGCACCCAGTGCTTAATAACTTAAAAGAGTTATGTGAAACTTCTGCATGGTGGACATCATCTTGCTAAGAATGTGACTTCTGCTATTCCTGTGAAATCCCCCTCAAAGTAACCTAAGTTGTAACTTTTGGGAAGTCACGAGATACATAAAACCAGACCAGAACGTGGTAATGGGGAGGAAAGCTTGGAAAACAGCATGCTCATATGTACAGTGAGTGAGTAATCCTTTTGCAAACACATCAGAAGCAGAGAAGCCTTCCACTGAAACTGATAAATGGCTGGGGTTTGCAGGGCTGTCCTGGAAGAGCTGCACTGCTGGTCTTTGGTCCTTATTCACTATGGAGGAACTTAGAGATGTTCCTAAGCAGGAATCCCTTTCCGAGGAAGACTTGTGAGAGGATCTCCTCCAGTCAGGATAGCAGAGGTTATAGGACAGCGGATGAAGCCAATGGTAATATAAACCCAGTGCTCAGCAGGGCTCTGGGAGAGCTGTGAACTGCAGTGTGCATCCTCTTACTTACAGCTGGCTCAGTGTCAAGGGATTTGAAAATATGGAAGAGGGCGTGAAGACAGAGTCCCTGGAGGTTAGAGGAGTTAGACTAGTCAGTCTGATATTCCAGTTTGCCTGGTAACAAATGGAATCAAGAATTGAATGAATCACCTGGTAAGTAAAGATGTAGTTTGGAAAGCTCACAGTAGCTTTTCTAAAGGGAAGTCATCCTTTACAATCCATCTGAGTTCTTCAGAGTGACCAAGGTGACCAAAGGAGATCCGCTTCATTTGATCTTCTGCATTAACCCCCCCACCCCAGAACACCCACCCAGCCAAGTGGGAGGGGGAGTACACCGCAGACATTAAAAGCTGTTGCTGAATTACTGCTGGTTAAAGCATAGCATGAACATTCACAAAGCAGAGTGGAGGCTGACTGATCTGTTGTGGCAGTGCAGGGCAGTTGTGGTTTGAAGCTTTTAAATGTTCTTCTAAGGCCTGCACTGTTCTGGGTATTGTAGAGGGGCTAACGGGGGGTGGAACCAGATCATCTTTAAGGTCCCTTCCAGCCCAAACCAGCCTGGGATTCTGTGGTAATTCGTATTTCACAGGCACCTCTTCCTGCTTGGTTTTGGAAGTGTAACTGTTCTCTACGTGTTCTTGAGTGTATGTGGGCAGCAGAGCCCATGGTAGTGCCTTGTATCAGTGAAGATGGAGCAGGTGATTCTGGCACTTCCATTTTGTAGCTTTTGTTCTGTGTGTGTGTGTGTGTGTTTTGTTGGACGTGTGATGAGGAGATTGCTGACTTGATGTGTTTCCACTTAGTTGAACTGGTGTAGGAAGTTCAAATGGACCCTATTGCACCTTAAAATACACCGGAAGGCAAAGTTCAGTGTGGCTTGGATAGCACTGCCAGAGTGTGACTTGTTAGAGGGTTTCATCTAACAACATTTGGGAGCACACAGAAAACACCTCTTTTGTAATACTTATTGTTTGTTTAAATACAGCTGCAGCTCTGGCTGGATAACCCAAAGATTCAGTTGACGTTTGAGGCAACTATCCAACAATTAGAAGCACCTTATAATAGTAAGTGGAGTCTTTTACTGCCAAAACCATCCTGTGTGTGTCATTGCTATTGGTTTTCAGTTTTGGTTGGCTAAAAGTTGCTTAAAACCAAGAGAGGGTTTCAGATGGGTCTTTTTGTTAGTGGAGCCCTGTGAGCAGTCATGGCAAGAATGGACCACTGCAGTATGCTCAGGTTTCAGGTTTGTTCAGGTTCATTTGTCTGGTAAAGAAATGCATCCTTAGCATACTTCGGAAAAGGCTGGTAACAAGGGGGGTTGGTACAGAAGTTCCATGAGAGTGAATTCCCATACAGCTTGTAAAGCTTGCTGCAGCTTCATGGTGCTTTACAGCTGTGAGATTTGCTTAATCACAAAGTTTCTGGGAGACATTAAGAAATTGCATAAAACTTGAATGGTCATGGTGAAAGAAGGTAGTAAAAGGGAGGGACTTTATACAAGAAAATGTAGTGATAGAACAAGGGGGAACGGTTTTAAACTGTCAAAGCAGAAGTTTAGGTTAGACATTAGGAAGCTCTTCCCTGTGAGGATGCTGAGGCGCTGGCACAGGGTGCCCAGAGAAGCTGTGGCTGCCCCATCCCTGGCAGTGTTCAAGGCCAGGTTGGACACAGGGGCTTGGAGCAAGCTGCTCCAGTGGAAGGGGTCCCTGTCCGTGGCAGGGGTTGAAGCTGGATGAGCTTTAAGGTCCCTTCCAACCCAAACCATTCTGTGTCTCTATGCAAAGAGCGAGGAGCGACTGCTTGCACATTGTAGGCCATTCTAACCTTCTCATAAAAGCTCCCAATAAACTGGAAAAGGTGAGGGGAGCCATAAGGAAGTAATTAAAGAAGAAAACAATGCTGAAATGAGTGCAGATACACGTCAAGTGCTGCAAAATAAGGAATTATTGTGTTTATAAAACCAAGCATGAGAGCTCAGTGCTCCAGTAATGGGTTGGTTTAACGGTGGTGAATCCCATTTTCTGCATAAAGCTCTCCAGATTTCTGCAGTCAGTTTCAGAAAAGGTGCTCTTCTGCACTAGAGAAATAGAAGCATTTCATGTCCTGTACATGTCCTGTGCAGCTTTTCAGGCAGGATTCAGAGCTACGGGACAGCATAAAACCAGCTTGTGGCTTCCAGAAAACCCCTCAGCCCTTCTCAAGAGGACGGATTCTTGGGGAGGGCAGCTGGGGAGCAGGAAGGGCTGTGTTCAGGGTGGTTTTGCTGGCTTGCTGCTGTGATCTGATTGCTTGTGAAGATGTTCTCAGTGCTAAACATGTGGAATGCTTGTGAAACATTCCCATTTTGCAGGTGATACGGTGCTCGTTCACAGAGTACACAGCTACCTGGAGCGGCACGGGCTCATCAACTTCGGGATCTACAAGAGAGTGAAGCCCCTTCCAAGTGAGAAACCTGAAAATGGTTTTGCTTCATTGTTCTGTGATTTTTCAAGCCAAACTTTTGAGGCTTTTTCTTCTTTTGGGATAGTCATGCTGAGGAAATAAAAAATGCTGGCAGTGCATTTGGCACTAGGGGTTCATGGGGTTTATTTGGACCTGGAGGAGCTGTTAATTCAAGTAAATCACTTTGAGAAGGAAAACACTTGCAAATCTTTGGTAGGTAATTCAGGGGCTGTCACTGTTGAATGAGTTCTCTTTGTTCCTCATTTGAGGAACAGAAGACACAAACACAATCCTGTACTTGCATCCCCTCTATGAAATAGAAGATGCAATAATTAATAAGAATTAGTTTCTTCTTCAAACATTCATTCTTCAGCAGTACTTTTCCTCCTGTTTTCTTCCTTGCCACACATGCTCTACTGGTGTATTTTCTTGTGCCTGTCTCACCAAGGAGGACTGTGAAGTGTTTTACTGTTACCATGTTATGCACAAAATTACTTCCATTTTCTTTTTTGTGGCTGTTTGTTTTGTTAAAGAGTTTGTCAGAACTGATGAGAGGGAAGCTGCTTTTTGTTCTTGGTGTCTCTTAAATGCAACTTTAATGTAGCTGCTTGCAATGTTGTAATAAAGCACATGCAGAGCCTGTAGCTTACTTTCCCCTCTCCTTAGCCAAGAAGACTGGAAAGGTGATCATCATCGGATCTGGAGTCTCTGGGTTGGCAGCAGCTCGCCAGTTGCAGAGTTTTGGAATGGATGTCACAGTTCTGGAAGCCAGGGTAGGAATTTCTGTGCTCTTTCACTTCTGTACAGAAGCTTAACCAGAAACCACATTCAGGCCTAGTCCCTGAGGCCAAGTGGCCCAGCAGCATGCCCAAGATGAGCAAGCTTGTGTGTAGTTACAGGCAGCTAGGTGTATTGCTGAGTGCTAAACGTGTCTCATGAGGAAACAGTCCTCTCTGTCCTCACTGGGAGCTGGCAAATACTGTCTCAGGGTTGGACTTGTCAGGTGCTTGTGTCATCAGCTTATACCTGCAACAAGTTGGAATCTTCTTTCATGATTAAGAGAAGAATGCAAGTCTGTGCTTGATGAAGTTGCCCATTAAATAGAATCATTGTTTGGGATTCCCATACAGTGTCAGGCAGGATATTGTTTTGTACCTTTCAAATCTACATTAATTCCTTATTTATTACTGTGTGCTTACAGAGGCTTTAAGTTTTATATAGAGCTACATTTTGTGATTGTGAAAAATTGGAATTTATCAGCTGTTTTACTTCCTGACTTCATTTTTTGTTATTCATTTACTTCTGATACTTTCCTAGCACAGCGTGAAATAATCTGCTTAGGTTAGAGTAATGTTTCAGCCTCTTAAGATTGCTAGGGGAGATGGGGAGCTGCTGCTCTGTGCTTCCCAGATCCCATAGCACTAGAACAAAAGAGAGTGCAACATTGACTGCTTGTCTCTTGCTACCTGAACGTACTGTTGTTTTTTTTGTTTGGTGCTTTGATTTTGGTGTCTTGGGAGTTTTTGGAAGCTGGAGAAGATCTGTGCTGTAACCTGGGCTTTGTTCTGTGCATATAACCAGTCTGTAGGTCTGGCAAGAGGCTATGTTAAAATCATGTGCAGTATTTTTCAGTCATTTTTCTGTGGACTGCTGCATCTCCTAAGTAGTCAGTGTCTCACCACCCTCACAGGGAAGAGCTTCTACCTAAGATCTCATCTCAGTCTCCCCTCTGGCAGGTTAAAGCCATTCTTCCTTGTTCAGAGCCCCTCTCCAGGTCTCCTGGAGCCCCTTTAGGTGCTGGGAGCTGCTCTAAGGTCTCCCCTTAAGGACTCAGCCCTTGCAGCATCTCCATGGCCTCCTCTGGCCTCGCTCCAACAGCTCTACATCCCTCTTGTGCTGGTGCCCCAGAGCCAGATCAGGACTGCAGGGGGGGCTCTCCCCAGAGCACAGCAGAGGGGCAGGATCCCCTCCCTGAGCTGCTGCTCACGCTCTGGGGGTGCAGCCCAGCACATGGTGGGGTTCTGTGCTCAAGCACACACTGAATCCAGGTCATGGGGAGCTTCTCATCAACCAGCACCCCCAAGTGCTCCTTATTCAGTTTAAAGTGGTGGGAAGTCATTTGTATGTGTCAAGAATCCAGAACTTCTTCCTGCTCCTGAACTGGGCTGCTTATTCCTGGTTATCTTGACTGGTAGCTGGCTCTTCTGTGGAGAACAGGTAGGAGTAATTGCCTGATGGGTTTTCTTACCCTAAAATTTAGTTTCCATCAGCACAGTTGAATAATTTCCTATAGAGCTGTTGGATTTGGGTAGGAAGTTGGAGGAGGAAATCCAATATGTAACTTCATCTATTTGTGGATGGTGAAGGGCTGGCTGTAGAATCCCAGAGGTTCCCACTGTAGGTGTTGCTAAATCTGGCCAAATCTATTTCTATTTCCTTTTTTCTTTCTTTGTTAATGCAACTCAAACCTTTTATTCCATAACTTGGATGAATTAAGACCAAGTGTTCATTTGCAGAGGTTCTTGGCAAAGCATATTTTATTTATTGACCCTTTGGGTGAGAGAACCCTTGCTCCATGCTATGGAGAAGTACCAGCAATTATATTTGAGATGTGTTGCTGAATGTTACTGGGGTTTAATCTCTTGTGCTTTTGAAAGGACCGAGTAGGAGGAAGAGTTGCGACCTTCCGCAAAGGGAACTATGTTGCTGACCTCGGAGCAATGGTGGTGACAGGACTTGGTGAGTGGGAAGGCAAATGGTGGGAGAAGATGTTACAACTGTGAAACCTTTTGCTGTTTCCTTTCGTGGCCAAAAGAATTGGGTGGGTTCAACTATGAAAAGTAGCTATTTCTGTTCAGCCTCTTTGGCAGTTGGCATTTCTCATCGGTGAATGTTCAGACCAGATGGCAGCCCTCACTGAGAACTGGGATTTGTGTTGGTGCCGTAGCTGTCATTGGTCACTGAAGTCACAGAGGTGCTTGTCATGTCATCAGACTGTTGCAGATCCATTCTTTTACAGTTTGTTTGTGCTTAGTGGAATTCTTTGCTCTTTCTTTGGCATGACGTCCTTCTGTGTGTCTGTTCCTTTGCCCACTGTGGTGGTGTCTATACCTGGCTTCACTGCACTTGCTGAGCAGCTCTTTCTAAAGCTGCTTTACCCAGCTGCCAATGGCCTCTGACTGAATTTCTTGGTAACTCTCATAGTCGTTCCCTTGGATCTTCCAAAGTATGAGCTGAGATTGAGCATGGATTTCTTATTTCATTGCAGACAAACTTTGCAGGAGTACTCTGTTAACTCTACACAATGTTTTCCAGGAGGAAATCCCATGGCTGTGGTCAGCAAACAAGTGAATATGGAATTGGCTAAGATCAAACAAAAATGCCCACTTTATGAAGCAAATGGACAAGCTGTAAGTCTGATGCTGTTTTCATTAACCTTTAAGAACAGAAATAGTATCTCAAGTGTGTTTGTTAGCAGGGTGTTGGCCTAGCAGGAGATGGCTTCCAGGAAGAGGGGGAGGGAGTAATGAAAATGTGTGTCCCTCTTTAGGCAGTGTGGGAATATTCCAGTGTATCTGCACCTACTCTAAAACCAGTTCTTTCCAGTGAGTTTTTGACTTTGCATTTCAGACGTTTTGTGGAATCTGAGTCCCTGTTTGTTCTTTGTAAATTCATGACTCTTCTTCCTCAGACAGTTGTCTTGCTGCACTCCAAAACGATTGTCTGCTGTGCTGGCACTCCAGCTTCTCTTGGTGTTGCTGCTCCTTTTCCCTGAAATAGGCTTGTTCTGGCTGTTCTGCTTCTGGTTTGTGTTTTAAAACCTGATTAACCAGTGTCATCTGGTTGAATGCATGCGACGCTTCAGCACTAATGCTCTATAGAGTTGGGATTCCCAAACCTAAATAGCCTCTGTAGCATCAAGGAGTGCTGTTAGAGATAGCAGTGGTATGTTCTAGTTTAGTGCTGAATCTCACACGTGTATTGACTGGAAGCTTTCCCACCTCCTGAATCTTAAATCATGGTACTAAGGGTAACTTCTTTCAGAAGACAGATGAGGATACTTGGCTTCTTGCTAGAGGCCTGAGAAAGTGATCCTTGGCCCAAATCTGGTGTGATCTATCACCTGCATCTTTTCCTGCTGCATCTGAGTGAATAGGGTGAATATAATGAATTCAGGGAAAGCCACCAAGGCACAGTAGACAGTTCTAACAGTCAGTCTGCTCTTGTGTTGGGAAGCTGCTTCCATCATCCTAGGAAAGCTGGATTGGTAGTTCTTAGTCATGCTGCCCAATCCAAAAGATCAGTTACTTCACTGAGCTCTGCCAGGCCTTCTAAAGCCTTGTGATTGTATAGAGCTGTCCTACCATCAGAGCAGTCTTCAGGCCCATGGTTAAGTTTCTGGAGCTTTGATGGACACACATTCCAGTAAGGAAATCTTTTGTGTGCCCCTGAGTTTGTGGTTGTTTGATTTACCAGCTCTTATTGTAGCTCTTTGGCCAGACATCCTGGCAAAGTGACTTTGTGTTGAGCAGCCCTTGGTGTTTGACCGTTTGAGAGAGCAGAGAGTATTACATTTCTCAGCTATGTTTCTGTTGTGCTCTTGAAGCATCACTCTCGTTCAGGGCAGGTGGCACCTTTGCTTTGAGTACTGCTCTAAGGATTTACCTGTACCCTGGCTTTTGCATTCCTCTGATTTGGGAAGTGGTGGTGTTTTGAGTTTGTGAATTTACACTGCAGTAGAGAAGGTAACCCGTGTCCCTGCTCTGGGGGCCTTTCAAGTTTTCTCTGTACTTCTCAACTGTCTCGTCTCTGAGGCTCTGAGCTTTCAGGATCTCTATTTTTCCTTTTTATATTAATTTCTTATTCAGAAGAAGGTCTGTTCTTTTGACTCCTAGGTTCCAAAAGAGAAAGATGAAATGGTGGAGCAAGAATTTAATCGTCTGCTGGAAGCCACATCCTACCTCAGTCATCAGCTGGATTTTAACGTTCTCAATAATAAGCCTGTCTCCCTAGGTCAGGCTCTGGAGGTTGTCATACAGTGAGTGACTTCCCTCTTCATGGCAGGCTTTCCTATTCTGTGGAGGATGTTCCTAAAGATACCTGAGACTTGTGATGCTCCTAGGATAAGCATTGCCCGCTTCTACAGCCGTTTGGTCTTTGCTGGGTTTTTGTGTGTGTGTTGTGTGGGGTGTTCATTGAAACAAGATAACATTGAAAGAAGATGGCTAAAGGAGCAAACATCTTTCCTTGAAAGCTTCTGAAAATCATTACAGTAACCGATAGATCATGGAATCATGGAATCAGAGAATGGTCTGGGTTGGAAAGGACCTGACGATCATCTGGTTCTAACCCCCCTGCCATGGGCAGGGACACCACACACTAAACCATGTCACCCAAGACTCCATCCAACCTGGCCTTTAACACTGCCAGATCATTGATGTAGTCTGAATTGGAGTGCAGACAGCCCACTTCTGCTACTTGAAAGCTAATAGTATTTTAATTTGCCTTTTAATAATAGTAGGTGACTCCAGACTCATGTTTTAGCTACTCAGGTAGCTCTTATTTACAGAAATGTCTATTAATTTTCTAATCACCATAGGAGTATTTACTAAAATATCCCATGATGAGCTTTTACTACATTACAGTAATTAGGTTGTGATAATGAGTTTTCTCGGTACTGCAAGGATTTTATGCTGAACTGACTCTCACTTCTCACCTTTTCCAGGTTGCAGGAGAAGCATGTGAAGGATGAGCAGATTGAACACTGGAAAAAAATAGTGAAAACACAGGAGGAATTGAAAGACCTTCTTAACAAGGTTAGGTGGTGACATTTAGAGCAAGAGGAGAGCATTGTGTTCCTCAGAAAGTGGCAAAATGGACAAAAAGTTCCATGGAAAACATCAGAAGGTTGCCACGGATGCTGGTCTTAAACATCTTTTCGTTTAAGCCTTGCCTAGAAGCACTGTTCTGACAAAGGACTCTATTTTTGAGGAGGAGCACATAAGCGATTAGGCAGGAGACTGTAAAACATGAAATATGGGAAAAGAAAGGGAGAAGTTGGACATAAGCAGAGCTGTGCAATAGCTTCCTGTAGAGATGTTGATAATGACTGAGTCTTTTGGGGGAGTATTTTAAAATGTAAACTTTCTTTAGCACAGATCTGATTTGTAGTGCAGAAACAGTGGTTTAGGTCTATCTACAGTGGTTTTGGTTGTGGTAGATGGCATCTTCACTGTTCCAAGGAAGTTTCTCAAATTAAACATGTCTGAGGTCAGCTCTCATATCTTAAGCTGTTTACAACATACTTTGTAAGAAACCAGTGATGTTGGGTTTCAGCTGTGTTGTTTTGGGGTTGGTGCTCTTTATTACAGGTTCCTGTCTGTAGAATTGCATTTAAGTAACAACTGGTAAAACCACAACATCTCTTTGGTATAATGACATAGCTTGAGATGAATATCCATTTTACAGTCACTTGCACCAAATCTACTTTTTTCTTTTTCTTCCTCCCTCTTCCTGCTCCACCTGAAAAAGATGGTGAATTTAAAAGAGAAGATTAAAGAACTTCATCAGCAGTATAAGGAAGCATCAGAAGTGAAGCCACCTCGAGATATTACAGCAGAGTTCCTTGTGAAAAGCAAACACAGAGATCTGACTGCCCTTTGCAAGGTAAGGGGTGATGTACATAGAGCACTTAAGTTGGTGGTTTCTGAGGGCTTCAGCAGCCAGATAAAATTAGCCAGTATAAATGTTACCACATTTCTCACTCCAGCACACTCAAGAGAATGTGATTGATGGTAACTCTGGGTTATAATACTGATAACTGCATTAAGTACCTTTAGGTACCTGAGGTTCATATTAATGTGTTGAAGGCTCACTTTTAGGGAACAGTCTGTGCTGGCTCATGTCAGGCAGCATTTAATTCTTTGAAGGCTAAATTTTAGGTCAGACCTGGTCTTTAGTACTGCTGGGTCTCACAATGGAAATAAAAACTGAATCTGAAGAGAGAAGTCCTTTCTCTAAGAAAAAGGTGGTTTCCTGAATAAAAGACTTTTCTGTCCAAAGATTACAATTTAAAGGCTCTATCTCGACAAGCAGAGTTATTCTCTCGCTCTGTGTATACCTGGGTGTAGAAATATGCCTTAAAAATTAACCCTTAAAACCTGTTCTTTCTGTGATAGTGAAAGACACCTTGCTAACCCGAGTCAGGTAGAACCAAGGATCATTTTTCACCTGCTTGTTCAACAGATGGTAGGGCAAAATATGCTGGATTAAATGTTAAAGAAAATAAAGAACTTGATTTTGATTCTGCTAAAACCATTAATCTTCCACTGATTTCTCTTGAGATTTGCTCTAGTCTGATGCTACATGAGATCTTTAAGGCCTTTTACATGGAAACTGATTTTGATGTTATCTTTTAATCTTATTAGGAGTATGATGAATTGGCAGAAACACAAGGAAAGCTGGAGGAGAAGTTACAAGAACTTGAAGCCAATCCTCCAAGGTAAAGATACAAACTGTAAAAAATACTTGGGAAAGCAGATTTTTTTACTGCTTTTCTGTAGAAACTGCTGAGTTTCAGAAATGCAATGGTTTGCTTTCTTTTGATTAGGGTAACTCAGTGGGTTAGGAAGGTACAAACATGAAGTTTGAGCTCCTGCAGCTTTAGAACTCCTTTTCCTTGTTTTTGAGGTGACTTGGATAAAAAGGTTGCATTTCAGTAAAATCCTGACTGTAACCAGTGGCCTGATGGTGGAAGCCTTTGAGATTTGAAATCCCTGTCAATAATGGTAGCATGCCAATCCTGCCTGTATTGGCAGAATATTATTGTTTTGTGCTCTGTGTGACTACAGTCGGGTTTTAGTCATTGTCTTATATATGGTACTTAAGCCATTATTTATAGAGTCATAGAATGGTTTGGGTTAGAAAGGAGCTTAAGATCATCCGGTTCCACATCCTTGCCACAGGCAGGGACCCCTTCCACTAGAGCAGCTTGCTCCAAGCCCCTGTGTCCAACCTGGCCTTGAACACTGCCAGGGATGGGGCAGCCACAGCTTCTCTGGGCACCCTGTGCCAGCGCCTCAGCACCCTCACAGGGAAGAGCTTCCTTGTATCAAACCTGAACTCCTCCTGTTTAAGTTTAAACCCATCACCCCTTGTCTTTTTTTTAGTTCTAAAGTTAAGTTTCTGGCTTCACTGAAAATACTTTACAAGAGCTCTGCTTTGAAGTGTGACTGCTGGGTTCGATGTTCAGCTTTCAGGAAGGAGGCTCGCACGTTTGAAACAGCAGACTGAATGTCTTTGTGTTGTGTTTGGGTTTTCTCCTAGTGATGTTTACCTGTCATCAAGGGACAGGCAAATACTCGACTGGCACTTTGCAAACCTAGAATTTGCCAATGCCACACCCCTGTCTACGCTTTCACTGAAGCACTGGGACCAGGTAACTAGTTCATGTATTCGTTCACCAGTGCACTAAGAACTTAAACCGTGTTTATTTCGTTCTCATGGAAGCTGCTCAATGTTAACAGTTTCTAAACCCTTCGGTGCTCTCTGCTTTTATGCAGATCCTGAGCTCTTACACGATGATCATTTGCTGATGAAATTCCAGGCAGCTTTTTGTGAGTGCCAGAAAAGCCTCCCTCCAATGACACTGACTACTGGAAGTTCCCATACTTATTTCTTGACTAATAAACAGAATTTCAAATCTGTTCAACTCACTTTTTTGGGGGGGAGGGGGAGTTTTGGAAAAAAAAAAGCCTTTATGTAGATTTGCTGCTTATTTTCTATTGAATTAATGTGATTTTGTTATAAATCGAGGCTTTCTATACATTGCTGTTTTAGGATGATGACTTTGAGTTCACAGGCAGTCACTTGACTGTGAGGAATGGCTATTCCTGTGTGCCTGTAGCCTTAGCAGAAGGCTTGGATATTAAATTGAACACAGCAGTGCGCCAGGTTCGCTACACAGCATCAGGTAAAGCAAACCCCTCCTCTGGAAAACTGCTCCGAGGGGCTGGGATCACTGAAATGAGATTTCAGTGATTCCAGAAGCAGATGTGAAAACTGATCTCTTACAGACCCTCCCATTATATATTTTGGGTTGGATAAATCACATTGGTCATCATAATGAATGATGAGGAAGCTCTTAGAGAGGTACTGATCTTCAGTGGGTTTTGCTCATTTCTGTGGCTGGTTCAGCATGGTGCTTTTCAGTTACATTTGCTGATTCATGTTCATGCTCCCATTTCTTTATTCAGTGGTTGAAGTGTTTGGAGTAAGAGGTCTTGGACTGCTTTAAGACTTGGTGCCCCAGGATCTGGTATTAGAAGTATAAATGAATGTCACACAAATTCAAGCAACTAGAAGGGCTGTATCTTTTCCATGTTCTTCTGAACACTGGGCTTGGGAAACTCTCAACTGGGAGAGCAACTCAATGAGAGGCTCACTGCCTGCTTGCTATTTGTTTATGCATATATTTAACTATATTTAACTGGCCTAGATGAACCTTTAGGCTTGTCCCAGTATGGCCATTTTCAGATGCTGTGTAAATTGCACTTTCTGGAAGTGAGCTTTGTGGTCCTTAACGTTCAGTAAAAGTAAAGTAATTGTTAGTGTAAAGCTCTCTCCATAAATGAAATGTTTTCTGATGTGGATATGTCTTTATGGAGTTTCTCTAGTTTTTAATGCAATGCTCTTGCCTGCTGGCCCATGGAATGATTGTTTTCTCTCCCCTTTCCAGGTTGTGAAGTGATAGCTGTAAATACCCGATCTACGAGCCAGACTTTCATTTACAAATGTGATGCTGTGCTGTGCACTCTTCCCTTGGGAGTATTGAAGCAGCAGCCTCCAGCAGTACAGTTTGTGCCACCTCTTCCTGAGTGGAAAACTTCGGCAGTTCAGCGTATGGGGTTCGGCAACCTCAACAAGGTGACTTGGTCATTGAGGGAGCTGCAGCAGGGCAGGGGATGCTCAGGAGGAGGCTGGCTCAGTCTGTGTGCTGTAGCTCTTGCTAACCAGCAAATCTGTAGCCTGCAAGAGCACGCTGACCTATGGAAGGCAGTATTTTTTCTGTGCACTCCTCCTAATTCCTGATTCTTTTTGTTTCTAGGTCGTGTTGTGCTTTGATCGCGTCTTCTGGGATCCAAGCGTCAATCTGTTTGGTCATGTTGGTAGCACTACTGCAAGCAGAGGAGAACTTTTCCTGTTTTGGAACCTGTACAAAGGTAGCTGCGGTGCATCTCTACTCTTGCCAGTGTCTTATTTGTGAGTTTCAGGTCTAGAAAAGAGCACTTTTTAAAATGCTGTTGGTGTTCACGTATGGATGTGATAAGAAAATCGTATTTGTAGGAAGACAAGTGGAAGTATTGAGCATGCAGGTTTCAGTGGGGCAGACTAGAGGCTTTGCTATGGCTCTGTTCCTCTTGCTGGGCGTTACCGTTCCAGCTTGATGAGCTGCAGGGCCATCCATATGGTTGAGATGCAGTGGAAATGCAAGCTGTGGTGTCTCCAGTGGATGAGCTTGTTTCCTGTTTGAGCAGCAAAGGAGCTTTGACTGGACTGTGAGCTTCAGACTGACACATAACTTTAGAACTCCTTTCTATTAAATGCTTAAGCAGGCAAAAGGTGTTGCCCTGCCTGTTTCTGCAGCTGGACTTTGCCATTAGTGGTTTTGTTTTCCCTGCAGCCGGTGTCTGCCACCAGAAGTTGTCAGAAGATGCTTTCAGTAAGCACGCTGGTTTTGTCGATTGCCATGGAGCGTACTAAGAGCAAAGCTGTGTGTACAGTGAGCACTTTAAATGGGTTCTTTTTTTTGGGAGATGACTGTTTCAAGTACCAAAGGGCAGAGCAGGTTTTTCTTTTAACTGGGGAAAATGGCTGTGCAAAGAAGGTGCCCTTGTAGGGTATTTGTTAAAATACCTGTAATTCAGGGTAATTGTTAGAACGTTTGGTAAGACTTGACTGGAGAAATACATGTCGTGAGCCTTGGATAAGAGGGCTGTTTGGGTGTCTGCTTTTGTGGCTTTAAGATGTCTCTATTACATACTTAACACGTAGTAGTGGGGTTTTGGTTTATATAGAAAGACCATCTCTCACACAAAGGTTCTGCTGCTAGATTCATCTTCTGTATTTCCTTAGCCGTAGCATTTTGGGCAGAAGCTGTTTAAACTGAACAGATTGAACAACCCAGAAAACAAATCCAGAAGGAAAAACCCTAGAACTATCACAGCACATCCTGTATTAGCTCTGGGGCAGTTCTTTGAAGGTCTTCTGTTGGCAGAGAACTGGTCTCTGAGAAGTATTTAACAATGGGTGGGTGAATGAAGTGGAACTCAGATGAGCAGACTGCATGTGCTTGTATGGCTGTGGGTGACCTGTTGTAGTGCAGACAGGAATCCTCCCAGTGGTTTCAGTCTGTTTGAGGTAATGACTGCTGAGACCCTGTAGCTTCAGGAGCACTGCATGTCCTGGGGCAGCTGGCCTGTGCTCCAGGTGCCTCTTGCTCCACTGTGCTGTTGGGTTATTGAAGTCTCTTTCAGGCCGAGGCCTGTTCAAGTCCAACTTGTCAGATTAAGACGATTGATGGCAGTGATTCACTTGTGTTTTCTCTCTCCTTCCCCACACCCCAGCACCGATTCTGTTGGCCTTGGTAGCAGGAGAAGCAGCAGGAATCATGGAAAACATCAGCGATGATGTCATTGTTGGACGGTGCCTTGCCATCCTCAAAGGCATCTTTGGGAGCAGCGCTGTGCCTCAGGTCAGTACAGACAACATCTTAGGTACCTCCTCCACGGTTTAGAGTGTGCTGTGTTCTATAGGTAGTGCCCTGTGTGTGTTCAGGGGTTTGTGAGAAGGGGTTGTTTGTAGGTTTGGGGTTGTTTGGGGGGTGTTGTTTGGGGCTGTTTTGTCTGGGTTGTGGGTTGGGTTGAGTTGGGTTGGGGTTTTTTTGACTCCAGCTTTTCCAGACTATCAAATACTTCCATTCATTTTTCTCCCTTTTGCATTCCTGGGGTTACAGCTGAGCTGTCCATGGCTGGTGACAGCACTGCTTGGGTACTCCCTGCCATGGTCTGCACCTTCTCTAAAGTACAGTGAAGCTCTTGACCAGTGAACTGCACAAGAAACTGGTCTGGCTGGAAAGGAACTAAAAGGGGGAGGAAGGGAGTAAGCAGCAGCTGTGTGCAGGAGGTTCTCATGACATAATGCAAGGAGTTGAGGTGTTGACAGCAAAGACAAGTTCTTTACCTTAGTGTGTATGTTCTCATGGAATAGAAACTTGGAGCCACCATTAATGTTAGCCTGAGGGCTTGGTGTCCTTTATTCTTGCAGTCTGTGTGGTTTGTGTTTTGCAAGATCCTTAGGCCTTGCCCTGTGACAGCAACTGAGGTTTCTGTCTTGTCTCAGCCTAAGGAAACGGTGGTGTCCCGCTGGCGCGCTGACCCGTGGGCCCGGGGCTCCTACTCCTATGTCGCAGCCGGCTCCTCTGGCAATGACTATGATTTGATGGCTCAGCCGATTACTCCAGGACCAGCCATTCCGGGTGCTCCGCAGGTGAGAGACGTCTCTGTTCTCCTCAGTAAGACCTCAACCAGGGGGATTTTTCCAAGTGATTCACACCCCTCTCGAGGCACAGGTTTAGGTTACCTGCGCCTTTTGATGATGATTAGAACCTGTACAATGATTCCGTTTTCCACCCGTGATTTCTGCCTGCCCAGGTTTGGTGTAATTTCTTTACTGGAAAAAGGATTGTTTTGCTCCAAGTCAATTTGGCAATATCTGAACAGAGTATTACAATGCCATGCATTTACTGTGTTCATACGCCGTGTTTAAGTTGTCCCATGCCCATATTTAAGTGAGTTGTAGTGATTTGAAAGCGTGAAGGCCCGAGTGAGAAGAACAGGAACCAAAAGGTGTCTCCCAGAGTGGGAGTGAACCCAACGAGGCATTAAGTCATGTCCAGTTCACTTTGAAAGGATGAGGTTTTGAGAGCAGTAGCCATTCTGATAGCAGCAGCAGAGTGCAGCTCTGGCTTTATTTAGGGTCTTTTCTAGTGCCGTAAGTCACTAATAAATGTAGCTGTGGATAAAATTACTCTCTGCAGCCTGTAATAGGTGAAGTTTTTCTCCTTTATTTTATCTAGAGGACTTCTAACGTTTTCTTCAGGTGTGTTTGCTGCAGGCTCTGGGGGAGCATGAGCAGGCCTTAACAGCGGTGTTTGTTCTCTGCTTCCCCAGCCGATTCCTCGCCTGTTTTTTGCGGGGGAGCACACAATTCGCAACTACCCCGCCACCGTTCACGGGGCTCTGCTGAGCGGGCTGAGGGAAGCCGGCCGCATCGCAGACCAGTTTCTTGGGGCCATGTACACTTTGCCTCGCCAGCCTACGCCGGGCGTCCCCCCCCAGCAAGCTGCCGGCATGTAAGGGAAGTGGAAGGTGTCGGAAGAGGAGGGACAAGACCCCAGTGCTGCTGCTGGGGACTCTTTGGGATGAAGATGCTCCCACGGTCTGCAGCAGTGCCTGCGGCAACAGCTCAGAGGAGTTGTGTGAAACACTTCCATTAGCATGGCCTTACAAGGACTTTGGCTCGGCAGAATCTCTTGGTGCTCTTTGCACTGTCGGTGCACACAGTTCTGTGCTGCCAGGTCAGGGCTTCGTTGGCTCTGTAAATACTTTCAGAAAGTCAAGCTTGTAGCTGGAGGATTTTTTAGGTGCGTTTGTTTGGGGGTTTTTGTTGAGTTTTGTTTTCTACCTGTACGTGCATTTACAGTTTGGTAACTGCACAAGGGCAGCTGGTACCTACACCTAGGAGCTTAGTGTAGAATTATTATTATTAATTCTGTGGGTGCTTTTTTTTACTGTTTTGAAGAACAGTATTTATTGACCAGTTCTATTCTTACCTGGCATTTGAGAGTTTGATGCAACTGGTTTTCCCCCTCCAAAGTATCCATTGCCTGCTACCCCGTATGCATCCTGTTCTAGAAAGAAAGCTGGTATTAAATACCTTCAACAAATGAAATCATCAGAATTGGGTATTTGTAAGTTTAAAAATGATTTGTATTTGTTTCTATAGAAAGAGAGTTGCCCAGGCAGGAAGTTAGCCAAAGGACCTGAGCAGAACAAACTCTGGCTTCAAAGAACCTGCTGGTGCCTGGTAAGGGTAACAAAGCCCACCTGGGAGCACATTGCTCCCACTCATCTCACTGCTCATTCTGTAGCTGAAGCCCACCACAGACAATCCAGTGCGGTTTATGAGGACTTATGGAAATACCTATTTAGTTTCCTACACAGGGAGACCTCCGAAATGGTGCCACCAACACAGCAATCCCCCTTCCCTTCGTCACCTAAAACGCGTTCCGGAGATACCCACGTGTAGGTGATGCGCAGCTCCTGCAGTACCGCGTGTGGCCACACGATGGCATCTCCCTCTCAGTGATGTGCTACCGGGCAGGCAGCGCCCCTCGGCTCCCCTCCCATCCTCCTTTGGTTGCCCGTTGCCAGGCAGCTCACTCCGGGGACTGCATCTCTGATGCCCGCTCTCTGGCGCCGCACGTCCGGCCGCCCTCCCGCAGGCGAAGAGCCGGGACAGCAAGCTGGTGCTCGGCGTGTTTTACACGCGGTGAGCTCCATAGCGGTGCCCGCAGCATTGCTCTCGCTCCTCGCTTTCCCACCTCAAATCCCATCTGCATCCTGCCTCCCTGGTGCCTGCTCTTGGCTGTCCTGAAGCCCTGCTCGCAGGGTGAGCCCTGTCCCACACCTGCCACGCCAGTGCCATACCAAACACCATGCCATGCTGCCTCATCCCCTTCCCCATGCATCCCCTCCATCCCCATCTCCCTGGGGGAAAAGAGACACCTCGTCCTGCCCCAGCTTCACATGGCACATGCACTGTTCCCATCACTGCTGCAGCCAGAACAAGGCTGTTCTAGCCCAGTTCCTAAAGGCAGAATAGGAAATGCCCCTGTTCCCCCATGGCTTGGGCTAGGAATCCCTGAGCAAAGGCAGCCAGAGTGGCTCCCTGTACATCCCTGGAAAAGATGAACTGGATGAGAGTCAAATGACAACCAGAGGCTTTATTCCAATAGTCCCTTAGGATGGTTGCAGACGTACAGACACACGTACATATTTACACTCTTACACACCTCACAGAGCTTGGATCAATAAATTAAAACAAAAACAGGGGGCGGGGATTGGGCTTTTTTTGTTGTGGTTTTTTTTTTCCTTTTTCTTTGTTTTTTGTCACATAAGAAACAGCAGCTCCCCGGGAGGGGGGGGGCTGGGGAGCCACTGTAGCCTCGAAGACAGAAGCCAACACGGACACAACCCTGCCCCAGAGAGATGCAGTGACGGCGTGCTGGTCAGCAGGAGCCCACCTCACACCCTGGCTTCGATGCACTCCAGCTTGACCATGTCATCCAGCCTGCAGCCCTCGGCTTGGGCACAGTGGCTCAGGGGGGCACTTGGGCTCTGGGGGCAGGTTGCTGCAGGCTGGGGCGGGGGGGACTCGCACTCGTCCGAGGTAAGGTCCGGCACATCGTCCGACTGGCTGTCGGAGCTCTCCAGGTCGCTCCGGATGCTCTCGGGCTGTGCCAGGGTGATGTCCCAGGTTTTGCTGGCAATGCAGTCCTTTTGCTCACAGCTTGGGTGTTTGCAGGTCTGCTCCTGCTCCCCGTCCTCCTCCTCCTCCTCATTCTCTGCCATTTGGGTGTGGACGTGCAGAGAGTCCTCTGTGCTGCTGCCGCTGGCCAGCTGGTAGTGACTTGGTTTGGCTTCGATGTCCACCTGGATCTCCATGTTATTGCACTCCCTGCAGGAACAAGCACCTTTGTGTTACTGGGCTCCACTGGGTCACCGCTGGGCTGGAAGGATCACGTTTGCTAAACACGAGCAAGATGCTGCTTATCACCCTGCAGCATCTGGGAAACAGCAACGCTTGCTGCTCTCTTTGAGTCCTCCCAACAGCAGCCAAGATCATCCCAGGCTGTAAGCCAGGAACTGAACTGGGAAAACATCAGAGTGACCAGCCAGGAACAGCCCTTGAGGATCTTGAGTTACAGCTTCCTTCCTCAGCCTCCACACCACACGTGGAGGCTGCTCCCACATTGTCCCCAGCCCTCCTGGGCTAGGGAAAGGATCATTCCACTTGCCAGCTACCAGAGAACAGGCTGGAGCTGCTGCAGTCATCTCCCCGCCCACAGCAGCACCCCACAGAGCAGAGAAGATGCCAGCACCCTCCTCACCAGTGCCCATCCTCCTACCTGTCCTGGGGGTTGTAGGAGCTGATGATGGAGCCAGCCATGGCTCGAGTGCTGGCATTGTCACTGATAGCCCCCAGGCTGACAGAGTCTTTGGGGAAAATCTCCTTCTGGACATCAGCCTGAACTTCCAGCCTGCAGGAAAGAAGAGGATTCCTCAGGAATGCCTTAGATGGTCCCTGAGGGGCACCAAGCACTCATTGTTTGTCATGGGAAGGCAAGAGGCCCGTGGTGCCGGTGCAGCTCAGCTTGGCAGAGTTCAACCCCAATGGTTTCTCTCCTTAAGTCTCAGGTTTGGCTCTGTTTAGGTAAAGCCGTTCTGTTTTCCATGACGAAGGTGAAGTTGTTTTTCATGACTCACACGATTCCTGCGAAGAAGCGATTTGCACAGCTCCCGTACAGAGCCATGATGGGATCCTGGCTGCCACCTCAGCACATGGCTCCAATCAACCAAAGTGACTCATAGGCATGTTCAGAGAACTGTGGTGCAGCCTCCTGACTTGGCAAGCAGTGACCCTGCTTGCTATAAGACACTGGGAATGGGAAGCATCAAAGCCTCCAGCCTGGGACAAGAGAACTGGAAGAGCTTTAAGCAGGCCACGCAGGCAGCTCTGCACCATTCCCAATTAACCTGAAGCATCAGCTCTGTAGTTTGAAGGAGCTCAGTAGGGACAGAAACCCCTGTCCTCCTTGCAGGAACCGGCCCAGCACTGGCTCCAGAAGCAGCCTGAGCTGCTCCTGGTTATTCTACAACACAAGATGCCCTTTTTGCAAGGGCATGTAGTGATAAGACAAGGGGAATGGCTTTAACCTGCCAGAGGGGAGACTGAGATGAGCTCTTAGGCAGAAGCTCTTCCCTGTGAGTGTGCTGAGGTGCTGGCACAGGGTGCCCAGAGAAGCTGTGGCTGCCCCATCCCTGGCAGTGTTCAAGGCCAGGTTGGACACAGGGGCTTGGAGCAAGCTGCTCCAGTGGAAGGGGTCCCTGCCCGTGGCAGGGGGCTGGGACTGGATGAGCTTTAAGGTCCCTTCCAACCCAAATCACCCTATGAAAACCTACCAGGACACAGAGGGGGATGCACTCACAGCCTTGGAGAGCTCCCCAGCAGGCTCCTCCCCAGCCAACACCAGCCTTGGGGGCCTCTCCCCTTTTCCTGTGTGCCCAGCAGCTCACTCACCTGCTGTACTTGCCCTTGCCTCCAGAGAGGACCCCCCCATTGAGGGTGCCCCCCGAGAGCGCGGCGAAGCTGGCTGTCTCGCTGTAGTTGCCCTGCATCACGCTGAGCCCATCGGTGGGGCTGCCGCTGGTGCTCAGCACGCTGGTCAGCCCCTCGATGCTGCTCTCCCCAATGCTGGGGTTCTTCAGGGCTCGCCAGGCATCAGCCACTGCGGGAAGAGCAGCACAGGAACAGGGATCAGCAAGGGAAGCATCCGGCTGCGATGGTGCTGGCAGAGCTGGGGTCAGGCAGCATGTGCCCCATCTCAGACTGGCTCCCGGCCTCAGCCAGGGCAAGGAAGAGCTGAGACATTGCTTCAAGGAGCTACGGAGCTCATCACCAAGAGCCTGAAGCAAGTGACTGCTTGTAGGCAACGGCAGACATTCGGGTCTCGGTAGCATGATTACATTACAAGAGGCAATGGGCAGGGTCTTGCTTCACCCCCTTCCCTTCCCCACTCATCCCATTACCTGTGATGGGTCCATCATCTTCATCAAACTCGATTTTCACCCCCTTCCCATTGGCAGTGCTGACCCCGCAGCCACCGCCCCGGCACAGCGAGATGGGCACCACACCGTACACGTAAGCCAGCATGATGGGGACGCCGATACCTGCAGAGGAGGATGTGCTGGTGTCAGAGGAGCAGCTTAGGCTTGAGCTGTGCTGGGCAGACAGAAAACTCTTTGGGGTAGGGACTCTTCCCGTTGTGTTCATGCTGCTCTAAAGCCCTAGTTCACAACCCTGCAGGCAGTGCAGGAGCCCCCTGTGCTGCTGCAGTGCAGAACAAGGGAGCTCCAAGAGCAGAGACAGCCTCAGCTGAACCCACAAGACATCAGCCTCCAAACCAGCCCACGGGCAAGAGGCAGCTCTGCTGTCAAGGGACTCCCCTATGGGCTGTGCACAGGCAGCTGGTGCTCCAGACAAGCCCTGGGCTGGCTCCAGGCCACCTCAGGCACAGCAGGATGTGGACGT